CAACCACTCACTCACTGCTCACTCACTCACTCACCCACTCACTCAGTCAACCATACGCTCACTCACTCACTCAACCACTCACTCACTCAACCACACGCTCGCTCACCGCTCACTCACTCACTCACCCACTCACTTACTCACTCACCACTCACTCAACCATACGCTCACTCACTCACTCACCCGTTCACTCACTCAACCACTCACTCACTCACTCAACCACTCACTCACTCAACCACTCACTCACTCACTCAGCCACTCACTCACTCAACCACTCACTCACTCACCCGCTCACTCACTCACTCACCACTCACTCACTCACTCACCACTCACTCACTCAACCACTCACTCACTCAACCACTCACCCCGCTCACTTCAACCACTCACTCACTCAACCACTCACTCACTCAACCATACGCTCACTCACTCACTCACTCACTCACTCAACCACTCACTCACTCAACCACTCACTCACTCAACCACTCACTCACTCAACCACTCACTCACTCAACCACTCACTCAACCACTCGCCCGCTCACCTCACTCACTCAACCACTCACTCAACCACTCACTCAACCACTTAACCACTCACTCACTCAACCACACACTCACTCACTCAACCACTGACTCACTCACTCAGCCGCTCACTCACTCACCACTCACTCACTCACCACTCGCTCACTCAACCACTCACTCAACCGCTCACCCACTCACTCACTCGCTCAACCACTCACTCAACCACTCACTCAACCACTCACTCAACCACTCAACCACTCACTCACCCGCTCGCCCGCTCACTCAACCAACTCGCTCACTCAACCACTCACTCACTCAACCATACCCTCAGCGTCGCCGGTAACTCGACCGCTCACTCAACTCACTCACCGTATGCTCACTCACTCACTCCAACCGACTCACTCACTCACCGTATGCTCACCCGCTCACTCATCACTCAACCACTCGCTCACTCAACCATACACTCACTCACTCAACCACTCCTCCCTCACCCACTCACTCATTCAACCCTCCATTCAACCACTCACTCACTTCAACCCTCACTCAACCACTCACTCACTCAACCACTCAATCACTTCAACACTCACTCACTCAACCACTCAATCATCAACCACTCACTCACTCACGCCACTCACTCACTCTCAACCACTCACTCACTCACTCCCCCCTCACTACACTCACTCAACCATACGCTCACTCACCCGCTCACTCACTCACTCACCACTCGACTCACCTGCCCCTCACTCACTCGCTCACCTGCTCACTCACTACAACCATACGCTCACTCACCCACTCCACTCACTCACTCGCCGCCTCACTCACTCATCGACTACCATACGCTCACTCATCCGTTCACTCACTCACCCGCTCACCCGCTCACTCAACCATACGCTCACCCGCTCACTCACTCGTACACTCAACCCGCTCACTCACTCGCCCATATGCTCACCCGCTCACTCACTCGCTCAACCACTCACCCACTCACTCACTCGCTCAACCACTCACTCAACCACTCACTCAACCACTCAACCACTCACTCACCCGCTCGCCCGCTCACTCAACCACTCGCTCACTCAACCATCTCACTCACTCAACCATACCCTCAGCGTCGCCGGTAACTCGCCCGCTCACTCACTCACTCACTCACCCGTATGCTCACTCACTCACTCAACCACTCACTCACTCACCCGTATGCTCACCCGCTCACTCACTCACTCAACCACTCGCTCACTCAACCATACACTCACTCACTCAACCACTCACTCACCCACTCACTCACTCAACCACTCACTCAACCACTCACTCACTCAACCACTCACTCAACCACTCACTCACTCAACCACTCAATCACTCAACCACTCACTCACTCACCCGCTCACTCACTCACTCAACCACTCACTCACCCGCTTATTCACTCACTCACCGCTCACTCACTCACTCAACCACTCACTCACCCGCTTACTCACTCACTCACTCACCCACTCACTCACTCACTCAACCATACGCTCACTCACCCGCTCACTCACTCACTCGCTCACCTGCTCACTCACTCAACCATACGCTCACTCACCCGCTCACTCACTCACTCGCCGCTCACTCACTCACTCAACCATACGCTCACTCATCCGTTCACTCACTCACCCGCTCACCCGCTCACTCAACCATACGCTCACCCGCTCACTCACTCGTACACTCACCCGCTCACTCACTCGCCCATATGCTCACCCGCTCACTCAGTCATCCGTACGCTCACCCGCTCACTGACTAACTCACCCGTATGCTCACCCGCTCACTCATCTGTACGCTCACCCGCTCACTCACTAACTCACCCGTACGCTCACCCGCTCACTCACTCACACACTCACTCACCCACCTGTACGCTCACCTACTCACTCACTAACTCACCCATACGCTCACTCACTAACTCACCCGTACGCTCACCCGCTCATTCACTAACTCACCCGTACACTCACCCGCTGTGTCCATGCATGATTGCACCCAGCAGTTCACTAAACCCACTGACAAAGTCAAAGATCCCCTGCGTAGCCTCTAACAGGGCTGTAGGGGCAAGTGCTGTCAGTAGCGAGTAGCAGCAGCACCTGTGAAGGCTACCGGTGCGGTGGCACCTGAGGGGGTGGGTGGCCAGCACCACGCCCGGCCGACAGAGACACGCACAGACAGACACACAGACAGACACACACAGACAGACACAACAACAACCGCCATTCGCCACTAAGTGGCGGTGACGTCACCACGACGCTTGTGCCAGACACACACACAGACAGACACACACAGACACACACAGACACACAGAGACACACACAGACACACACAGACACAGACAGACACACAGACACAGACAGACACACACAGACAGACAGACACACATACACAAAGACACATACGGACACACAGACATACACACGGACACATACACAAGGACACACACACATTGACAAAATACACACGGACACACACACAGACGACACACACACAGACGACACACACACGCGCGACACACACGCGACACACACACGCACAAATACTAGAGCGGGGTCATGAATACTGAACGAATTTTTATCATTCTTCTTTCGCCGCTAAGATATTTACAGCAAGTTCACAATCGCCACTTTGGTTTGCAAAGTTACTACTCCTTGAGGAAGTAGCTGCATTCGTGTGTGTGTATGTATGTACGTGTGTGTGTACATGTCATCCACTCACCCACCCAGCCATCCACACACTCACCCACCCAGCCATCCACACACTCACCCATCCACCCATTCACCCACCCACTCACCCACTGACTCACCCACTCACCCACCCAGTCACCCACTCACCCACCCACTCACCCACCCACCCACTCACCCACCCACTCACTCACTCATCCAGTCACCCACCCACTCACCCACTCACCCACCTACTCACTCACTCACCCACCCACTCACCCACCCACTCACCCACCTACCCACGTGTTTATGTTACCAGCTGTAATGCCCCACCGAGCTACTGTGTAGGAGATCTTTTACAGAATCCACCTGGTCCATCGCAGATGATAGCAGCTCACACACACACACCACCATCACCACCATCGTCATCACCACCATCACCACCATCACCACCATCATCACCATCACCACCACCATCATCACCATCATCACCATCATCACCACCATCACCACCATCATCATCACCACCATCACCATGATCACCACCATCACCACCATCACCATCATCACCATCATCACCATCATCACCATCACCACCACCACCATCACCACCATCATCATCACCACCATCACCACCATCACCACCATCATCATCACCATCATCACCATCACCACCATCATCACCATCATCACCATCACCACCATCATCACCACCATCACCATCACCACCATCATCACCATCACCACCATCATCACCATCATCACCATCACCACCATCATCACCACCATCACCACCACCACCACCATCATCATCATCACCACCACCATCATCATCATCATCACCACCACCATCATCATCACTACCATCACCACCATCACTACCATCACCACCATCACCACCACCATCATCATCACTACCATCACCACCATCACTACCATCACCACCATCACCACCACCATCATCATCATCATCACCACCACCATCATCATCATCACCACCACCATCATCATCATCATCACCACCACCACCATCATCATCATCACCATCACCACCATCATCATCATCACCACCACTACCATCACCACCACCACCATCATCATCATCACCATCATCATCATCACCACCATCATCATCACCATCACCACCACCACCATCATCACCACCACCACCACCATCATCATCACCATCACCACCACCACCATCATCACCACCACCATCATCACCACCACCATCATCATCATCACCATCATCATCACCACCATCACCATCACCACCATCATCACCATCAGCACCATCACCACCATCATCACAATCATCACCACCATCATCATACATCACCACCATCACAGATGATAGAGACACATAGAGACACATAGTGACCCATCGAGACCCATAGATACACAGAGACCCATAGAGTCGCATAGCAACACATAGATACACAGAGACACGCAGAGCCCCATAGAGACCCACAGAGACCCATCATAGAGACACAGAGACCCACAGAGACACATAGAGACCCACAGAAACACATAGAGACCCATCATAGAGACACAGAGACCCACATAAACACATAGAGACCCATCATAGAGACCCATCATAGAGACCCATAGAGACCCACAGAGACCCACAGAGACCCACAGAGACCCACAGAGACACACAGAGACACACAGAGACCCACAGAAACACCACGTAGCGATGACGAATGACAGCAGCCCCCCCAGGTGGCTGCTGTCATTGCTGTCGTCACGGCTGTTAGAATTCAGAGCAGCGGCCGAATAACTCTGAGGGCATGGCGACTTCCATTCTAGAGGCGGTGACCGCCACGGGGAGAGAGACGCAGACTCCACATAGACAACAGCAGCAGCAGCAGGCATTGTCAGGGGTCGGGATCGAACCCACGACCTCCTGTAGCCCAGGCGAGGTAGTCAACATCTCCAAGCCACTGTGGTGATGATGATGATGATGAGAGAGACACAGACTCCACATATACAGCAGCAGGGATCGAACCCACGAACTACTGTAGACCAGGACCTCCTGTAGACCAGGCGAGGTAGTCAACATCTCCTAGTCACCGTGATTATGATGATGAGAGACGCAGACTCCACATGTACAGCAGTAGCAGCAGGCATCGTCAGGGGTCTGGATCGAACCCACGACCTCCTGCATACCAGGCGAGGTAGTCAACATCTCTACACCAAAAACGACATTTTTTTTTAGTTGAGCAGCTAAGGTCCCACTGAGTGTCTATAGACACTGCTGTTGCTACTCGCTACGAACAGCACTTGCCCCGACAGCCTGTTAGAGGCTACACGGGGGACCTTTGTCTTTGTGTCTCTGTGTGTATGTGTGTGTGCGTGTGTATGCGTGCGTGTGTATGCGTGCGTGTGTGTGCGCATGTGTGTTGGGGAGTGGTGGGGCAGTGGTTAGCACTACGCTGCGCTACGAACCCGGCGACCCGAGTTCGATTCCCGCTCACGGCCAACACCAGTGACGATTTTCTAAACCGGTCCTGGGCCTCCCCTAGGTCGACTCGGCCTCAAATGAGTTACCTGGTGTAGCGGTGGTGTAGTAGTAAACATCGCCACTGGGGGAGAGACAAAGGCGGCCGGGCGTGATGCTGGCCACCCACCCCCTCGTGTGCCACCGTGCCGGTAGCCTTCGTAGGTGCCGCTCGCTAACAGCACTTGCCCCTACAGTCTGTTAAAGCTACACGGGGGATCTTTGTGTGCGTGTGTGTGCGTGTGCATGCGTGTGTGCGTGCGTGTGTGTGCCTGTGTGTGCTGTGTGTGTGCGTGTGTGTGTGTGCGTGTGTGTGTGTGTGTACGTGTGTGTGCGTGTGTGTGTACGCGTGTGTGTGTGTGGGGGGAGCGGTGGTACAGCGGTTAGCGCACTGTGCTATGAACCCAGCGACCCGGGTTCGATTCCCGCTCACGGCCAACACCGGTGACGATTATCTGAACCGGTCATGGGCCTCCCCTAGGTCGACTCAGCCTCAAATGAGTACCTGGTGAGGTGTGTAAACATCGCCACTGGGGAGACAAAGGCGGTCGGGCGTGGTGCTGGCCACCCACCCCCTCGTGTGCCGTGCCGGCCTTCATAGGTGCTCGCTAACAGCACTTGCCCCTACAGTCTGTTAAGGCTTTATGGGGGATCTTTGTTTTTTGTTTGTGTGTAATCGCACCCTTCCAGCCCTGACGCGGGAGGATGTGAAGATCTGGCTGATGGGCCTGCAGTGGTTTGTGGCCGACACACAGAAGTCCGCCACGCCCCTGCAGATCGAACGGTACGCCGGTCAGCTCGCGCGCACGCACGGACACACGCACGTGCACGCACGCACACACGGACACACACGCACGCACGGACACCCTCGCTCGTACGCACACTCGCACGCACGCACACACACACGCTCGCTCACTCCCACACTCGCACGCACACTCACTCGCTCGCTCACTCCCACACTTGCACACACACTCGCACGTACACTCACACGCTCACTCACTCCCACATTCACACACTCGCACGCTCACTCGCTCGCTCGCACACACACTCGCTCCCTCACTCACACACACACACACACTCCCTCATGCACACACACACACACTCTGCTGTGTGATGAGTCTGTGGGTCTCTGCTGTGTGATGAGTCTATGGCTCTCTGCTGTGTGATGAGTCTATGGCTCTCTGCATTCCTTCGCAGGTGGTTGAGGAAACAGTTCTACTCGTTGGATCGTAACCGCGGCAACACGTGAGTCCAGCCACCAACACGAACCTCCCCCTGCCAGCACCTCCATAGAGACCCATAGACTACTCACACAGAGACCCATAGACTACTCACACAGAGACCCATAGACTACCCACACAGAGACCCATAGACTACTCACACAGAGACCCATAGACTACTCACACAGACCCATAGACTACTCACACAGAGACCCATAGACTACTCACACAGAGACCCATAGACTACCCACACAGAGACACATAGACTACTCACACAGACCCATAGACTACTCACACAGAGACCCATAGACTACTCACACAGAGACCCACAGACTACTCACACAGACCCATAGACTACTCACACAGAGACCCATAGACTACTCACACAGAGACCCACAGACTACCCACACAGAGACCCACAGACTACTCACACAGAGACCCACAGACTACCCACACAGAGACCCATAGACTCATCACACAGAGACCCACAGACTACCCACACAGAGACACATAGACTACTCACACAGAGACCCATAGACTCATCACACAGCAGCAACAACAACCGCCATTCGCCACTAAGTGGCGGTGACGTCACTACGACGCTTGTGCCAGGCTATGTGCACCTTGAGGCCATGTGAAGTGTTGAACGCCCGCTGGCAGGAGGTCACGGGGCAGACCCAGCAGGTGCCACGGGTCGACTGACTGAGATGACTGGCTGATGCACCACCTGTGCCCCCATTGTGCCAACTCGCTGTGCTTTGGCCACCCGGCGCTCCGCTCGTTGTTGTGAGCGTCGCTCCTCCGCCCTCCGTTGTTGTTGGAGGGCGACTGCCTCCAACTGCCCAGTAGCGTCCTTCACGAGCCTCCTCCACAGAGGCCGATCTTGACACCGCTGGTACCGGTCATCGGCAAGTTCACTCAGCTCCACGTCCTCCTGTACCACGTCACTCCATCTCTTCTCTAGCCTGTGCCGCGCCCGTTTAGCCCCCTCGATCCGGCCGAACAAAAGCTGTTTAGGCATGCGGTAGCTGGGCATGCGGGCTACATGGCCCAGCGAACGCAGCCTTGCCTGCCGGAGGAGCTCACAGATGCGACTTTGTCCAGATCTTTCAACGATTTGTGAGCTCCTCACACAATCCAGCCTGGCTAAACCCATGATGGATCGTAGGCAGGCCAGCCTAAATGTTTCCAACCGGCGAAGATGTTCCATTAGGGGGGTCCACGTTTCACAAGCGTAGAGAAGGGAGGGAATGACTGTGGCCGAGAAGACCTGAAGCTTCGTGCGGAGCGACAGACCAGGTAGCTTCCAAACAGCGTTACGCAACCAATGAAAAGATATTGCCGCTCGACTGACCTCTGCTGTTAAACTGGAGCCGGTCATAAACACACTGCCCAGGTATGGGAAACTCTCCACTCTCTCCACAACTGCCCCATCGCCGATTGGGAGTTGTGGGGGTGGAGTGTCCGATGGTACAAAATACCCAGGCAGGTGCTGAGTTTTGGTGGGGCTGATGGTAAGGCCCCACCTCTTAGTGGCATGCTCCAGTCTCAGCAGCAGCGTCTCCCAACTCCTCCTCTGAATGAGCAGCTATTACCAAATCATCGGCATACATAACGTGGTTGACCAATAGGGAGCCATCCCTTGATCGCACCCGGACATCGATCAGCCTCCCATTATATCTGTACCAAATGGAAATTCCCCCGGTACAGCTATTGAAGGCTTCACAAACTACGCAGTCAAAATAGATGTTAAATAATGTGGGAGCCAGAGGACATCCCTGTCGCACCCCAAGGTGTACAGGGAAAGGCTCCGACTCCCAGCCACGTAGTTTTACCCGGGCCCGCTCACCATCATGAAGGTCCTTAATGATCGTGAGCAGAGGGTCAGGGACTCCGAAAGCACGAAGAACAACCCAGAGCCCAGGCCTACTGATGGTATCATAGGCCTTGACCAGGTCAATAAAGCAGAGATGTAGGTCTTTTTGGAATTCCCTACACCTCTGCTGTAGCAGACGGACAGAAAATATGGCATCTGTACAGGACCGCCCTTTCCTGAAACCGCATTGGGGCTCCGCAAGCCTCTCCTCAGCGTGCCTAGAAAGGCGATGTTGAATAATCCTTGCCAGGACCTTACCCGGCACACACACGCACGTACACACACACACACATGCACGTACACACATGCACGTACACACACACACACGTACACGCACGCACGTACACACACACATGCACGTACACACGCACGCACGTACACACACACACGCACGTACACACGCACGTACACACACACGTACACACACACACGCACGTAGACACACACACATGTACACACACACACACGTACACACACACGCACGTACATACACAAATGCACGTACACACACACACGTACACACACGTACACACACACACACACACGTGTACACACACACACACACATGTGTTATCGATTCCCGGCCGAGTGGGCGCCGTGGTGGTTTTGCCTTCTCTCCCCCCTCATGCCGGGTCTGGTCCTGGACCCCGCCTGGGTGTTGGTGGGTTGGTGGGTGTGGGTGGGTTGGTGGGTGTGGGTGGGTTGGTGGGTGTGGGTGGGTTGGTGGGTGTGGGTGGGTTGGTGGGTGTGGGTGGGTATGTGGGTGTGGGTGGGTTGGTGGGTGTGGGTGGGTTGGTGGGTGTGGGTGGGTTGGTGGGTGTGGGTGGGTTGGTGGGTGTGGGTGGGTTGGTGGGTGTGGGTGGGTTTGTGGGTGTGGGTGGGTATGTGGGTGGGTGGCTGTGTGTGGCTGGGTGTGTGTGGCTGGGTGGGGTCTATGTGTGGCTGGCTGTGTGTGGGTGTGTGGTTGGGTGGGTGTGTGTGTGTGGCTGGGTGGGTGTGTGTGTGTGGCTGGGTGTGTGTGTGTGTGTGGCTGGGTGGGGTGTATGTGTGGCTGGGTGTGGGTGTGTGTGTGGCTGGGTGGGTGTGTGTGGCTGGGTGTGTTGTGTGTGTGGGTGCGGGGTGTGTGGTTGTGTGTGTGTGTGGCTGGGTAGGTGGGTGGGTGCGTGTGTGGGTGTGTGTGGCTGGGTGCGTGTGTGTGTGTGGCTGCGGGGTGGAGTGTGTGGGTGTGCGTGTGTGTGTGTGGCTGGGTGTGTGTGTGGGTGTGTGTGTGTGTGTGTGGCTGGGTGTGTGTGTGGGTGTGTGTGTGTGGGTGTGTGTGTTGTCGGTGTGGGTGGCTTCCAAACGGCTTCCTTTCGCCCGGCTGGAGGAAGCCGCTTGTACGTTATCGGCAAAGATCCCGGCCTCCTGGCAAAGATAACCGTCGGTGGAACTCCACGGCCTCCTGCGGCGTCGCCCGGCAACCGGCGGGTGCGCGCCCACCGATACCAGTGAAGCCGCGGTGACGTCACCGCCCGTGCCAGGCTAGGTGCAGGAGGAGGTCACGGGGCAGACCCAGCAGGTGCCGTGGGTTGACTGCTGTGCCAGGCTAGGTGCAGGAGCAGGAGGTCACCGGGCAGACCCAGCAGGTGCCGTGGGTTGACTGCTGTGCCAGGCTAGGTGCAGGAGGAGGAGGTCACGGGGCAGACCCAGCAGGTGCCGTGGGTTGACTGCTGTGCCAGGCTAGGTGCAGGAGGAGGTCACGGGACAGACCCAGCGGGTGCCGTGGGTTGACTGCTGTGCCAGGCTAGGTGCAGGAGGAGGTCACGTGGCAGACCCAGCAGGTGCCGTGGGTTGATTGCTGTGCTAGGCTAGGTGCAGGAGGAGGAGGTCACGGGACAGACCCAGCAGGTGCCATGGGTTGATTGCTGTGCCAGGCTAGGTGCAGGAGGAGGTCACGGGACAGACCCAGCAGGTGCCATGGGTTGACTGCTGTGCCAGGCTAGGTGCAGGAGGAGGAGGTCACGGGACAGACCCAGCAGGTGCCGTGGGTTGACTGCTGTGCCAGGCTAGGTGCAGGAGGAGGAGGAGGTCACGGGACAGACCCAGCAGGTGCTGGGTCTGCCCGTGTGGCGATGTTTACTGCACACCGCACCGGGTAACTCATTTGAGGCCGAGTCGACCTAGGGGAGGCCCAGGACCGGTTCAGATAATCGTCACCGGTGTTGGCCGTGAGCGCGAATCGAACTCGGGTCATAAGCCGGGTTCGTAGCGCAGCGCAGCGCTAAGCACTACACCAACGCTGCCCATCCGCTCCCCGCACTCACACACACAGGCACACGCACGCACACGCACACACACACACAGGCACGCACACAGGCATGCGCACACGCACACAGGCATGCGCACACGCACACACGCGCACACGCACACACACACACAGGCACACACACAGGCATACGCACGCACACACACACACAGGCACGCACACAGGCATATACACACACAGGCACACGCACGCACACACACACACACACAGGCACACGCACGCACACAGGCATATACACACACAGGCACACGCACACAGGCATGCGCACACGCACACACGCGCACACGCACACACACAGGCACATACACACACACATACGCATGCACACACACACTTGCACACATACTATACATTACACTACACACTAATATACACTACACACTACTATATAGTACACTACTACACACTACACAAGTATAGACCTTTAGACTCACACCATAGAGACCCATAGACACCCACAGACTACTCACACAGAGACCCACAGACTACTCACACAGAGACCCACAGACTCTCACAGAGACCCACAGACTCGCACAGAGACCCATAGACTACTCACACAGAGACCCACAGACTACTCACACAGAGACCCACAGACTCTCACAAAGACCCACAGACTCACACAGAGACCCATAGACTACTCACACAGAGACCCACAGACTCACACAGAGACCCATAGACACCCACAGACTACTCACACAGAGACCCACAGACTCACACAGAGACCCACAGACTAACACAGAGACCCATAGACTCACACAGAGACCCACAGACTCACACAGAGACCCACAGACTCACACAGAGACCCACAGACTACTCACACAGAGACCCACAGACTCACACAGAGACCCACAGACTCAACACAGACTCACAGACTCACAGACTCACACAGAGATAACCACAGACTCACACAGAGACCCATAGACTACTCACACAGAGACCCACAGATTCACACAGAGACCCACAGACTCTCACAGAGACCCACAGACTCACACAGAGACCCACAGACTCACACAGAGACCCATAGACTCACACAGAGACCCATAGACACCCACAGACTACTCACACAGAGACCCACAGACTCACACAGAGACCCACAGACTCACACAGAGACCCACAGACTCACACAGAGACCCACAGACTCACACAGAGACCCATAGACACCCACAGACTACTCACACAGAGACCCACAGACTCACACAGAGACCCATAGACACCCACAGACTACTCACACAGAGACCCACAGACTCACACAGAGACCCACAGACTCACACAGAGACCCACAGACTCACACAGAGACCCACAGACTCACACAGAGACCCATAGACACCTACAGACTACTCACACAGAGACCCACAGACTCACACAGAGACCCACAGACTCACACAGACAGACCCATAGACTCACACAGAGACCCACAGACTTACACAGAGACCCACAGACTACTCACACAGAGACCCACAGACTCACACAGAGACCCACAGACTCACACAGACTCACACAGAGATAACCACAGACTCATACAGAGACCCATAGACTACTCACACAGAGACCCACAGACTCACACAGAGACTCACACAGAGACCCACAGACTCACACAGAGAGACCCACAGACTCACACAGAGACCCATAGACTACTCACACAGAGACCCACAGACTCACACAGAGACCCACAGACTACTCACACAGAGACCCATAGACTCACACAGAGACCCACAGACTCACACAGAGACCCACAGCTCACACAGAGACCCACATACTCACACAGAGACCCACAGACTCACACAGAGAGACCCACAGACTCGCACAGAGACCCACAGACTCACACAGAGACCCACAGACTCACACAGAGAGACCCACAGACTCGCACAGAGACCCACAGACTCACACAGAGAGACCCACAGACTCACACAGAGACCCATAGACTACTCACACAGAGACTCACAGACTCACACAGAGACCCACAGACTCACACAGAGACCCACAGACTCACACAGAGACCCACAGACTCACACAGAGAGACCCACAGACTCACACAGAGACCCATAGACTCACACAGAGACCCACAGACTCACACAGAGACCCACAGACTCACACAGAGACCCACAGACTCACACAGAGACCCATAGACTACTCACACAGAGACCCACAGACTCACACAGAGATACCTACAGACTACTCACACAGAGACCCACAGACTCACACAGAGACCCACAGACTCGCACAGAGACCCACAGACTCACACAGAGACCCACAGACTCACACAGTGACCCACAGACTCACACAGAGACCCACAGACTCACACAGAGACCCATAGACTCGCACAGAGACCCACAGACTCGCACAGAGACCCACAGACTCACACAGAGAGACCCACAGACTCGCACAGAGACCCACAGACTCACACAGAGACCCACAGACTCACACAGAGAGACCCACAGGCTACTCTCACGTGCTCCCTGTCTCCGCAGTGTGGGCATGAAGGAGCTAAAAGTCTTCCTGCCAAATGTCAACTTCAAGGTGCCCAGCATGCGCTACCTGAGGGACAAGTTCGTGGTGGGTGACTCTTTGCGGCACGCACGCACACACGTTCGTGTGTGAGTGTGTCTGTGTGTGAGTGTGTGAGTGAGTGAGTGTGTCTGTGTGTGAGTGTGTAGGTGAGTGAGTGTGTCTGTGTGTGAGTGAGTGTGTCTGTGTGTGAGTGAGTGTGTCTGTGTGTGAGTGAGTGTGTCTGTGTGTGTGTGAGTGAGTGTGTCTGTGTGTGTGTGAGTGAGTGTGTCTGTGTGTTCGTGTGTGAGTGTGTCTGTGTGTGAGTAAGTGCGTCTGTGTGTGAGTGAGTGAGTGCGTCTGTGTGTGAGTGTGTCTGTGTGTGAGTGAGTGTGTCTGTGTGTGAGTGAGTGAGTGTGTCTGTCTGTGAGTGTCTGTGTGTGAGTGAGTCTGTATGTGAGTGAGTGTGTCTGTGTGTGAGTGTGTCTGTGTGTGAGTGAGTGCGTCTGTGTGTGAGTGTGTCTGTGTGTGAGTGAGTGAATGTGTCTGTGTGTGAGTGAGTGTGTCTGTGTGTGAGGAGCTGCTACTCGCTAACAGCACTTGCCCCAACAGTCTGTTACAGGCTACACTGGGAATCTGTGTGTGTGTGTGTAAGTGTGTGTGTGTGTGTGTAAGTGTGTGTGTGTGTGTAAGTGTGTGCGTATGTTGAACTCTTCATTTGCGCCATACGTAGTCAACTGTGCTAACCGGAGGTGCTGTGTGTGCTGTGTGTGCTGTGTGTGTGTGTGTGTGCTATGTGTGTGTGTGCTGTATGTGCTGTGTGTGCTGTACGTGCTGTGTGCTGTGTGTGTGCTGTGTTGTGTGTGTGCTGTGTGTGTGCTGTGTGCAGGAGGTGGAGCCAGGCCCAACAGAAATGTCCTTTGAGCAGTTTGCACTTTTCTACAAGAACCTCATGTTTGACTGCCAGCGTGTGGTGAGTGCCGATGGCGGTGACGGTGGTGGTGGTGGCGGCGTTGGTGGTGGTTGTCGCGGTGATGGTGGTGATGATGATGATGGTGGTGATGATGACGATGATCGTTGTGGTGATGATGATGATTGTGATGATGATGACGATGGTGGTGATGATGGTGATCGTGGTGATGATGATGATGATGATCGTAGTGATGATGATGATCGTAGTGATGACAATGATGGTGGTGATGATGACGATGATTGTGGTGATGATAACGATGATGATGGTGGTGACGATTACGATGATCGTGGTGATGATGACGATGACGATGGTGGTGGCGGTGATGATGATGATTGTGGTGATAATAACAATGGTGTTGGCGGTGATGATGATGATGGTGGTGATGATGACGATGATCGTGGTGATAATAACAGTGATGATGATGGTGGTGATGATGACGATGGTGGTGGTGATGACGACGATGATGGTGGTGATGATGATGATGGTGGTGCACTGCAGCTTTGGCCACGTGTTTGTATCTGTTGTTGTTACCGGACGTCCCATAGACTAGCGGAGTTGCAATAACAGGGGCTACGCTGTGCTCATTGTCTTACAGATCCTGCAGCATCTCCTGGAACAGGGTCTGTCCGTGAGCTTCAGGTACACACAGCATTTACCCCGTGCGCCAGTGTGCGTCTCTATGGGTCTTGTGAGTCTCTGTGCATCTCTGTGTGTTTCTGAGTCTCTGTGAGTCTCTGTGGGTCTCTATGGGTCTCTGAGTCTCTGTGCGTTTTTATGGGTATCTGAGTCTCTGCGAGTCTCTGTCAGTCTCTGTGGGTCTCTATGGGTCTCTGAGTCTCTGTGAGTTTCTGAGTCTCTGGGTCTCTGAGTCTCTGTGGGTTTCTGAGTCGCTGTGCATCTCTATGGGTCTCTAAGTCTATGTGAGTCTCTATGGGTCTTTGAGTTCCTGTGAGTGTCTATGGGTCTCTGAATCTCTGTGTACTCACAACTGACTCCCCCTGTCATTACCTCCCGTGGCCACCAGTCCCTTCACACTCACAGCTGACTCCCCTGTCATTACCTCCCGTGGCCACCAGTCCCTTCACACTCACAGCTGACTCCCCTGTCATTACCTCCCGTGGCCACCAGTCCCTTCACACTCACAGCTGACTCCCCTGTCATTACCTCCCGTGGCCACCAGTCCCTTCACACTCACAACTGACTCCCCTGTCATTACCTCCCGTGGCCACCAGTCCCTTCACACTCACAACTGACTCCCCTGTCATTACCTCCCGTGGCCACCAGTCCCTTCACACTCACAGCTGACTCCCCTGTCATTACCTCCCGTAGCCACCAGTCCCTTCACACTCACAACTGACTCCCCTGTCACTACCTCCCATGGCCACCAGTCCCTTCACACTCACAGCTGACTACCCTGTCATTACCTCCCGTGGCCACCAGTCCACTCACACTGCAGGCTGACTCCCCTGTCATTACCTCCCGTAGCCACCAGTCTCTTCACACTCACAGCTGACTCCCCTGTCATTAACTCCCGTGGCCACCAGTCCCTTCACACTCACAACTGACTCCCCTGTCATTACCTCCCATGGCCACCAGTCCCTTCACACTCACAGCTGACTCCCCTGTCATTAACTCCCGTGGCCACCAGTCCCTTCGCACTCACAACTGACTCCCGTGTCATTACCTCCCGTGGCCACCAGTCCCTTCACACTCACAACTGACTCCCCTGTCATTACCTCCCGTGGCCACCAGTCCCTTTGCACTCACAGCTGACTCCCCTCTCATTACCTCCCGTGGCCACCAGTCCCTTCGCACTCACAACTGACCCCCCTGTCATTACCTCCCGTGGCCACCAGTCCCTTCGCACTCACAACTGACCCCCCTGTCATTACCTCCCGTGGCCACCAGTCCCTTCACACTCACAGCTGACCCCCCTGTCATTACCTCCCGTGGCCACCAGTCCCTTCACACTCACAGCTGACCCCCCTGTCATTACCTCCCGTGGCCACCAGTCCCTTCGCACTCACAACTGACCCCCCTGTCATTACCTCCCGTGGCCACCAGTCCCTTCACACTCACAGCTGACTCCTCTGTCATTACCTCCCGTGGCCACCAGTCCCTTCGCACTCACAACTGACTCCCGTGTCATTACCTCCCATGGCCACCAGTCCCTTCACACTCACAACTGACTCCCCTGTCATTACCTCCCTTAACCACCAGTCCCTTCACACTCACAACTGACTCCCGTGTCATTAGCTCCTGTGGGTGTGTTTACCCACGAGCTGTACGGCACTTTTACCTTTTGCGCGTTTTTCTTTTTTCTCGTCCGCAGGAACCGCATTCCTCTGGATGAGTTTCAGAAGTTTCTCATCTGGGACCAGAAGGTGAGTTAGCGGCAGAGCATGTGTGTGTGTGTGTACGTGTGTGTGTGTGTACGTGTGTGTGTGTGTACATGTGTGTGTGTGTGCGTGTGTGTGTGTGTACGTGTGGGTCTGTGTGTGTGTACGTGTGTGTGTGTACGTGTGTGTGTAAGTGTGGCTCTGCTGTGTGAGTCTATGGGTCTCTGCTGTGTGATGAGTCTATGGCTCTCTGCTGTGTGATGAGTCTGTGGCTCTCTGCTGTGTGATGAGTCTGGCTCTCTGCTGTGTGATGAGTCTGTGGCTCTCTGCTGTGTGATGAGTCTATGGCTCTCTGTTGTGTGATGAGTCTATGGCTCTCTGCTGTGTGATGAGTCTATGGCTCTCTGCTGTGTGATGAGTCTATGGGTCTCTGCAGTGTGATGAGTCTATGGCTCTCTGCTGTGTGATGAGTCTATGGGTCTCTGCTGTGTGATGAGTCTATGGGTCTCTGCAGTGTGATGAGTCTATGGGTCTCTGCTGTGTGATGAGTCTATGGGTCTCTGCTGTGTGATGAGTCTATGGCTCTCTGCTGTGTGATGAGTCTCTGGCTCTCTGCTGTGTGATGAGTCTCTGGCTCTCTGCTGTGTGATGAGTCTATGGGTCTCCTAAATTCCACCATGATGATGGGAGAGAGAGCGATGATGTTGTGTTGTTGATATTGTTCATGTTGTTATTGATGTTGATATCCGCGTGCTTGTTGTTGTTGCTGTTGTTGTTGTTGTTGTCCTTGCCGCCGTGGCTGCACGCAGGAGAGCTGGGCCAACGACGTGTCGAAAGTGCGTCGCTTCATGGAGCTGTACCTCAACGACCCCATGCGGGAGATTGAGGAGCCCTACTTCGCTCTGGAGGAGGTGGCCCATGACCTCTCCCCACCCCCACACTCACCCACACGGTCACCCACATGCTCACCCGCACGGTCACCCACACACTCACACGCTCACCCACACGGTCACTCACACGCTCACCCACACGGTAACCCACACCCTCACCCACACGGTCACCCACACGGTCACCTACACGCTCACCCACACGCTCACCCACACACTCACTCACACGGTCACCCACACGGTCACCCACACACTCACTCACACGCTCACCCACACGGTCACCCACACACTCACTCACACGCTCACCCACACGTTAACCCACACCCTCACCCACACGGTCACGCACACGGTCACCCACACGGTCACCACCACGCTCACCCCCACGGTCACCCCCACGCTTACCACCACACTCACCCACACGGTCACCCACACGGTCACCCACACGGTCACCACCACACTCACCCACACGGTCACCCCCACGGTCACCCCCACGCTTACCACCACACTCACCCACACGGTCACCACCACACTCACCCACACGGTCACCACCACACTCACCCACACGGTCACCCACACGGTCACCCAAACGGTCACCCACAAACCTTTACCCCCACACACTCACCCACACACTCACTCACACGCTCACCCACACACTAACTCACACGCTCACCCACACGGTCACCCACACGGTCACCCACACACTCACTCACACGGTAACCCACACGGTCACCCACACGGTCACCCACACCCTCACCCACACGGTCACCCACACGGTCACCCACACACTCACTCACACGGTCACCCACACGGTCACCCACACACTCACCCACACGGTCACCCACACCCTCACCCACACGGTCACCCACACGCTCACCCACTCCCTCACCCCCACGCTCACCCACACGGTCACCCACACACTCACTCACACGGTCACCCCCACACTCACCCACACCCTCACCCCCACACCCTCACCCCCACACTCACCCACACGCTCACCCACACGGTCACCCACACGGTCACCCCCACACTCACCCACACGGTCACCCACACCCTCACCCCCACACACTCGCACGCTCACCCACATGGTCACCCACACGGTCACCCCCACACTCACCCACACGGTCACCCACACGGTCACCCCCATGGTCACCCCCACACACACCCCCACTCTGTGTGTCTATAGGCACTGCTACTAGTTCTGTGTGGACGCAGTTTATGACGTTCTGTTCTGTGTGAACGCAGTTTGTGACGTACCTGTTCTGTGTGAACGCAGTTTGTGACGTACCTGTTCTCGCGCGAGAACAGCATCTGGGACGCCAACCAGGAGCGCCTCTGCCCCGAAGAGATGAACCATCCCATCAACCACTACTGGATCGCCTCGTCGCATAACACGTGCGTGCCATACGCAACCACGCACAACAACAACAGCCGCATACACACACTCACGCACACACACACTCACGCACACTCACGCACACGCGCACACGCACGTACGCACACACACACAGTGGCGATGCTTGCTACACACCGCACCAGGTGCTCGTTTGAGGCTGAGTCGACCTAGGGGAGGCCCAGGACCGGTTCAGATAATCGTCACCACTGGTGTTGGCCGTGAGCGGGAATCGAACTCGGGTCGCCGGGTTCATAGCGCAGCGTAGCGCTAACCACTACACTACCGCTCCCACTCACCCACACACTCACATTCACTCACATTCACTCACATTCACTCGCTCGCACTCACTCACATTCACTCATACACTCACTCACGCTCACACACTCACATTCACTCGCTCACTCGCACTCACACACTCACTCGCACTCACACACTCACTCTCGCTCACACACTCACATTCACTCACACACTCATTCACGCTCACACACTCACATTCACTCGCTCGCACTCACTCACATTCACTCATACACTCACTCACGCTCACACACTCACATTCACTCGCTCACTCGCACTCACACACTCACTCGCACTCACACACTCACTCACGCTCACACACTCACATTCACTCACACACTCATTCACGCTCACACACTCACATTCACTCACACACTCACAATCACTCACACTCTCACATTCACTCACTCGCACACACACACAAACAAACAGTCGCACAACAACAACCACCATTCGCCACTAAGTGGCGGTGACGTCATCACGGTGACGTCATCACGGCGCTTGTGCCAGGCTAGGTGTCTGTTGAGGCGACGTGAAGTGTTGAACGTCTGCCGGAAAGAGGTCACGGGGCAGACCCAGGTGCCACGGGTCGACTGACTGAGATGACTGCCCGATACACCTCCTGTGCCCCCTACTGTGCTAATGTGTCTCTGCTGTGTGATGAGTCTATGGGTCTCTGCTGTGTGATGAGTCTATGGGTCTCTGCTGTGTGATGAGTCTATGGGTCTCTGCTGTGTGATGAGCCTATGGCTCTCTGCTGTGTGATGAGTCTATGGGTCTCTGCTGTGTGATGAGTCTATGGGTCTCTGCTGTGTGATGAGTCTATGGGTCTCTGCTGTGTGATGAGTCTATGGGTCTCTGCTGTGTGATGAGTCTATGGGTCTCTGCTGTGTGATGAGTCTATGGGTCTCTGCTGTGTGATGAGTCTATGGGTCTCTGCTGTGTGATGAGTCTATGGCTCTCTGCTGTGTGATGAGTCTATAGGTCTCTGCTGTGTGATGAGTCTATGGCTCTCTGCTGTGTGATGAGTCTATAGGTCTCTGCTGTGTGATGAGCCTATGGCTCTCTGCTGTGTGATGAGTCTATGGATCTCTACTGTGTGATTAGTCTATGGGTCTCTGCTGTGTGATGAGTCTATGGATCTCTGCTGTGTGATGAGTCTATGGGTCTCTGCTGTGTGATGAGTCTATGGATCTCTGCTGTGTGATGAGTCTATGGCTCTCTACTGTGTGATGAGTGTATGGGTCTCTGCTGTGTGATGAGTCTATGGCTCTCTGCTGTGTGATGAGTCTATGGGTCTCTGCTGTGTGATGAGTCTATGGCTCTCTGCTGTGTGATGAGTCTGTGGCTCTCAATGTGAGTCTACGTATGTGTGCGTGTGTGTGCGTGTGTGTGTGTGCGTGCATGTGTGCGTGTGTGTGTGTGTGTGCGTGTGTGTGTGTGTGTGCGTGTGCAGGTACTTGACGGGAGATCAGTTCTCCAGCGAGTCGTCCACAGAGGCGTACGCACGCTGCCTACGCATGGGATGTCGCTGCATTGAACGTGAGTCAGCATCAATTAATAAAAAAATATCGCCTGAAATCCACAGGAGGTCGTGGGTTCGATCCCGACCCCCACGACGCCTGCTGTTGTACATTTGGAGTCTGCTTCTCTCTCTCTCTATGTCATCATCACGGTGGCTAGGAGATGTTAATTGCCTCGCCTGGTATACAGGAGGTCGTGGGTTCGATCCTGACCCTGACGATGCCTGCTGTTGTACATTTGGAGTCTGCTTCTCTCTCTATGTCATCATCACGGTGGCTAGGAGATGTTAACTACCTCGCCTGGGATACAGGACGTCGTGGGTTCGATCCTGACCCTGACGATGCCTGCTGTTGTACATTTGGAGTCTGCTTCTCTCTCTCTATGTCATCATCACGGTGGCTAGGAGATGTTAACCACCTCGCCTGGGATACAGGAGGTCGTGGGTTCGATCCTGACCCTGACGATGCCTGCTGCTGGAGATTTGGAGTCTGCGTCTCTCTCTCATCATCATCACGTTGGCTAGGAGATGTTAGCTACCTCGCCTGGTATACAGGACGTCGTGGGTTCGATCCTGACCCTGACGACGCCTGCTGTTGTACATTTGGAGTCTGCGTCTCTCTCTCTATGTCATTATCACGGTGGCTAGGAGATGTTAGCTACCTCGCCTGGTACGCAGGAGGTCATGGGTTCTGCTAGAAGTCTCCACGGGACGATGTCTGCGTCTCTATAGGTTGCTGCTGCTGCTGCTACTCGCTATGAGCAGCACTTGCCCCGACAGCCTGTTAGAGGCTACACGGGGGATCTTTGTCTGTGTGCGTGTGAGCGGTAGTGTAGTAGTAGTAAGGGGGAGTGGTGGTGTAGCGGTTAGCGCTACGCTGCGCTATTCACCCGACGACACGGGTTCGATTCCCGCTCAAGGCCAACACCAGTGACGATTATCTGAACAGGTCCCGGGCCTCCCCTAGGTCGACTCGGCCTCAAATGAGTATCTGGTGTAGCGGTGGTGTGTAGTGAACATCGCCACTAGGGAGACAAAGGCGGTCGGGCGTGGTGCTGGCCACCCACCCCCTCGTGTACCGTGCCGGCCTTCGTAGGTGCTCGCTAACAGCACTTGCCCCTACAGTCTGTGAAGGCTACACGGGGGGTCTTTGTCTTCGTGTGACGCAGTGGACTGCTGGGACGGTCCTGAGGACACGCCGATCATCTACCACGGCCACACGCTCACCTCCAAGATCCGCTTCCTGGACGTCATCTACACCATCCGCGACCACGCATTCCTCACCTCCCAGTGAGTCCGTGGGTGGTGGGTGGGTCGATGAGTGGGCGAGTGAGTAGGTGAGTGGGTGAGTGAGTGGGTGAGTCGATGAGTGGGTGGGTAAATCTATGAGTGGGTGGGTGGGTCAATGAGTGAGTGGGTGGTTGGGTGGATGGGTGGGTGAGTCAATAAGTGAGTGGGTGAGTCAATGAGTGAGTAGGTGGTTGGGTGGGTGGGTGGGTGAGTCGATGGGTGGGTGAGTCGATGAGTGGGTGGGTGAGTCAATGAGTGAGTAGGTGGTTGGGTGGGTGGGTGAGTGAGTGGGTGGGTGGGTGAGTGGGTGGGTGAGTCAATGAGTGAGTGGGTGGTTGGGTGGGTAGGTGGGTGAGTGGGTGAGTCGATGAGTGAGCGAGTGAGTAGGTGAGTGGGTGAGTGAGTGGGTGAGTCAATGGGTGGGTGAGTTGGTGGATGGGTGAGTGAGTCGATGAGTGGGCGAGGGAGTGAGTCAGTCAATGGGTGGGTGGGTGAGTGAGTCGATGGGTGGGCGAGGGAGTCAATGAGTGGGTGAGTGAGTCGATGAGTGGGCGAGTGAGTAGGTGAGTGAGGGAGTGAGTGGGTGAGTCAATGAGTGGGTGAGTGAGTCAATGGGTGGGTGAGTGAGTGAGTCAATGGGTGGGTGGGTGAGTGAGTTGGTGGGTGGATGGGTGAGTGAGTGAGTCGATGGGTGGGTGGGTAAATCGATGAGTGGGTGGGTGGGTCAATGAGTGAGTGGGTGGTTGGGTGGATAGGTGGGTGAGTCAATGAGTGAGTGGGTGAGTCAATGAGTGAGTGGGTGGGTGAGTGGGTGGGTGGGTGAGTGGGTGGGTGAGTCAATGAGTGAGTGGGTGAGTCCATGAGTGAGTAGGTGGTTGGGTGGGTGGGTGAGTGAGTGGGTGGGTGAGTCAATGAGTGAGTGGGTGGTTGGGTGGGTGAGTGAGTTGATGAGTGGGGGATTGAGTCGATGAGTGGGTGGGAGAGTGAGTCAATGGGTGAGTGAGTGAGTCGATGAGTGGGTGATTGAGTGAGTGAGTGAGTCGGTGGGTGAGTGAATTGATGAGTGGGTGAGTGAGTCGGTGAGTGGTCTTGTGGATGAGTGAGTGAGTGGGTGAGTTGATAGGTGAGTGAGTGAGCCACCCGGTGTTGTTGGTGGCCCATGAACAGGAATCAAACATGGATCATGGCCAGGTTCGTAGCGCTAACCGCTGCACCACCACTCCCGCACGCACACACACGTGCACGCACACACACACGTGCGCACACACACACGCACACACGTGCACACACACGTGCACGCACACACACACGTGCACACACACACACACGCACGCACACACACACACACACGCACGCACACACACACACACACGCGCGTGTACGTGCAGGTACCCCGTGATCCTGTCCATCGAAGACCACTGCACCATCCCGCAGCAGCGCAAGATGGCGCAGCTGTTCCGCCAGGTGTTTGGGGACGCGCTGCTCACCAAGGCGGCCGACGGGCCCGTGGACGAGCTGCCCTCGCCCAGCCAGCTCAAGAACAAGATCGTCGTCAAGGTGACCGCGGGGGGGGGGGGGGGGGTGGTGGGAGGGGTGGTGGGGGGGGTGGTGGGGGCGGTAGTGGGGGGGGGGCGGTAGTCGGGGGGGCGGTAGTGGTGTCACAAATGGGTAGACTCGATAACCTGCACACACATCACACATCCACGCTCGCACACACATCCACGCTCACACACACACGCACATCCACGCACACACACACACGCTCACACATACACATGCTCCCACGCACACACACACATCCACGCACACAAACACATCCACGCACACACACATCCACACGCACACACACGCACGCTACACTCGCTCACGTAACCAAATGCTCCCCCCCTCCTCCCCCCCCGCGTCTGCAGCACAAGACGATTGAGTCGCAGGTGCTGGAGGAGAGTGTGGGCAGCGAGACGGATCTCAGCAACTCGCTCAAGAACGGCATCCTCTTCCTGCAGGACCCCGTCGACCACGTACGCACACACACACGTACACGTACACACGTACACACACGTACACACACAATCACACACTCACCGCACTCGCACACTCACACACACGCACGTAGACACACACACACGCACACACAGACACACGTACGCTCGCACACACACGCACGCACACACGCACACACACACACTCGTACACACGTACACTCACACACTCACACACACGTAGACACTCACACACTCGCACACACGTACACACACACACACGTACACGCACACTCACACACACACGTACACACACGTACACACACGTACACTCGCACGTAGACACACACTCACACACGTGCACACGCACACTCGCACGTACACGCACAATCACACACACACGTACACGTACACTCGCACACACACACGCACACACACACACTCGTACACACGTACACTCACACACTCACACACACGTACACTTGCACGTAGACACTCGCACACACGTACACACACACACACGTACACGCACACTCCCACACACACTCACACACACACACGTAGACACACACACTCGTACACTCACACACACGTACACACACACACGTACACTCGTACACACACACACTCACACACTCGTACACTCACACACTCACACACACGCACATTCACACACTCGCACACTCACACATGCACACACGTACACTCACACACTCGCATGCTCGCACGTAGACACTCACACTCGCACACGGACACGCACGCAGACACACAGACACACACACAAACACACAGACACGCAGACACACACTCACACGCAGACACACTCGCACACAGACACACAGACACACTCACACACTCACACACTCACACACAGACACACTCACACGCAGACACACTCACACACACAGACACACTCACACACTCACACGCAGACACACTCACACACACAGACACACAGACACACTCACACGCAGACACACTCACACACACAGACACACTCACACGCAGACACACTCACACACACAGACACACAGACACACTCACACGCAGACACACTCACACACACAGACACACTCACACGCAGACACACTCACACACACAGACACACAGACACACTCACACGCAGACACGCGGAGATGTAGTCACGCAGAGACGTGGAAACACGGCCACACGGAGACACGGCCACTCAACCACAGGGCCACGTGGGGTTTCCCTGTGTGTCCCTGTGTGTCTCACCGTGTGTGTGTGTCTTACTGTGTGTGTGTGTCTTACTGTGTGTGTGTGTCTCACCGTGTGTGTGTGTCTCACCGTGTGTGTGTGTGTGTCTCACCGTGTGTGTGTGTGTGTCTCACCGTGTGTGTGTGTGTGTCTCACCGTGTGTGTGTGTGTCTCACCGTGTGTGTGTGTGTCTCACCGTGTGTGTGTGTGTCTCACCGTGTGTGTGTGTGTCTCACCGTGTGTGTGTGTCTCACCGTGTGTGTGTGTCTCACCGTGTGTGTGTGTCTCACCGTGTGTGTGTGTGTCTCACCGTGTGTGTGTGTGTCTCACTGTGTGTGTGTCTCACCGTGTGTGTGTGTGTCTCACCGTGTGTGTGTGTCTCACCGTGTGTGTGTGTGTCTCACCGTGTGTGTGTGTGTCTCACCGTGTGTGTGTGTGTGTCTCATCGTGTGTGTGTGTGTCTCACCCTGTGTGTGTGTGTCTAACTACTGTGTGTGTCTCACCGTGTGTGTGTGTGTGTCACTATGTGTGTTTCACCGTGTGTGTGTGTGTGTGTCTCACCGTGTGTGTGTGTGTCTCACTGTGTGTGTCTCACCGTGTGTGTGTGTCTCACCGTGTGTGTGTGTCTCACTATGTGTGTCTCACCGTGTGTGCGTGTGTCACTGTGTGTGTCTCACCGTGTGTGTGTGTGTCTCACTGTAGGAGTGGAACCCGCACTACTTTGTGTCTCACTGTGTGTGTGTGTGTTTGTCTCACCGTGTGTGTGTGTCTCACTGTGTGTGCGTGCGGTGTGTGTGTGTCTCACCGTGTGTGTGTGTCTCACTGTAGGAATGGAACCCGCACTACTTTGTGTCTCACTGTGTGTGTGTGTCTCACTGTGTGTGTCTCACCGTGTGTGTGTGTGTGTGTCTCACTGTAGGAGTGGAACCCGCACTACTTTGTGTCTCACCGTGTGTGTGTGTGTCTCACCGTGTGTGTGTGTGTGTCTCACTGTGTGTTGTCTCACCGTGTGTGTGTGTCTCACTATGTGTGTCTCACCGTGTGTGTGTGTGTCACTGTGTGTGTCTCACCGTGTGTGTGTGTGTCTCACTGTAGGAGTGGAACCCGCACTACTTTGTGTCTCACTGTGTGTGTGTGTTTGTCTCACCGTGTGTGTGTGTCTCACTGTGTGTGTGTGTGTCTCACCGTGTGTGTGTGTCTCACTGTAGGAATGGAACCCGCACTACTTTGTGTCTCACTGTGTGTGTGTGTCTCACTGTGTGTGTCTCACCGTGTGTGTGTGTGTGTCTCACTGTAGGAGTGGAACCCGCACTACTTTGTGTCTCACCGTGTGTGTGTGTGCCTCACTGTGTGTGTGTGTGTCTCACTGTATGTGTGTGTGTCTCACCGTGTGTGTGTGTGTCTCACTGTGTGTGTGTGTGTGTCTCACTGTATGTGTGTGTGTCTCACCGTGTGTGTGTGTCACTGTGTGTCTCACTGTGTGTGTGTGTCTCACTGTGTGTCTCACTGTGTGTGTGTGTCTCACTGTGTGTCTCACTGTAGGAGTGGAACCCGCACTACTTTGTGTCTCACTGTGTGTGTGTGTCACTGTGTGTCTCACTGTGTGTGTGTGTGTCTCACCGTAGGAGTGGAACCCGCACTACTTTGTGTTGACCAACGCCAGGATCTTCTACTCGGAGGAGACGGCGGTGACGCGGCCCGCTGACGACGACGAGGGGGAGGAGGCGCCCGGGGAGGTGCTCACCACAACAACAACAACAACAACGCCACAACAACAACAACAATGCCACAACAACAACTACAATGCCACAACAACAACAATGCCACAACAACAACAATGCCACAACAACAACAACACCACAACAACAAAATGCCGGGAGCAGTAGCGTAGTGCTGCGCTACGAACCCGGCGACCCGAGTTCGATTCCCGCTCACGGCCAACACCGGTGGTGACGATTATCTGAATCGGTCCTGGGCCTCCCCTAGGTCGACTCAGCCTCAAATGAGTACCTGTTGCGGTGTGTAAACATCGCCACTGGGGAGACAAAGGCGGCCGGGCGTGGTGCTGGCCACCCACCCCCTCGTGTGTGCCACAGTGCCGGTAGCCTTCACAGGTGCCACGTGCTGATACTTGCAGTCAAATGCAAACAAAAACACAACTATGATAATTTATGCATTGTCCTTGAAACTGATTGGTCCATACCAGAGACAGCTTTCTTTAGAGCCTAGTCTCATACGGTGTTCGACCAGATGACGCCAAAAGGCGCACAGTTCAAAGACAACACACTACCAGAGTAATGAGAGCTCGGGGTGAGCAGCTACATCATGGAACCTCCTTTGCCAGTACCAACATATACTAACAGGGTTTTTTCCCCTTTTTTCTGGCAAGAAAACTGACACCTTTCGATTTAAAGCTTTCGTGACTGCAGGGATTCATCTTCTTGGTTCTTTCGGTAAAGTCACGTAGAAGGGAAATAATAAAATTATAAAAATAAAACATAATAAAATAATTCTCACGACGTTTCGGCCACAACGCAAGCAGCCGTCCTCAGGTGAAGACCAGGTCTGTCGGGGAGACAGCGTCTGAATGAAACACCACCACGCTTGGAGCGTATATTTAAGCTGCTGGGTTGGAGGGGGGAAGAGCGCCTTGACAAAAGAATTTGCATATCAAGAGGAATTTAGCATATTTATGGGAAATGCAGGTATGTGATTAGTACTACTTGTGAAATGCGTATGAGGTGGGCGGGGGGTTTCAAAGTCATATTATGCCCGTGCATGATGCAGGATTAGCAGCATCAAAGGGAGGGGGTAGGGGTAGCATTAATAAAGGGAAGGAATGTTAATAGTATGTAGCTGCAGAAACTAAACCACCACGTAAACAACTAAAGTATAAACTACATAGTATCATCAGTATACTAAATATACTCTTCAATAAGCTGGGCTACTAACAGTAAAGTAATACATCTTCTTGGTTCTTTCGGTAAAGTCACGTAGAAGGAAAGTAATAAAATAATAAAAATAAAACACAATAAAATAATTATCACGACGTTTTGGCCACAACGCAAGCAGCTGTCCTCAGGTGAAACCAGGTCTGTCGAGGCGACAGAGTCTGACCTGGTTTCACCTGAGGACGGCTGCTTGCGTTGTGGCCGAAACGTCGTGAGAATTATTTTATGTTTTATTTTTATTATTTTTATTATTTTATTACTTCCCTTCTACGTGACGACTTTACCGAAAGAACCAAGAAGGTGAATCCCTGCAGTCACGAAAGCTTTATATCGTAAAGTAAGTAATACGTTACAATTATACGTCGCAAAAAATATAACGTGCTTCCAGACGACGCTGCTAACTTCGCTTGCGTGTCGACGGGCACGGGTTGACCTCTGTCCCTCCGGCGTGCCGCGTCTGTCAAGGAGCTGGGGCGAGGCGAGCTGCACTACAGCGAGAAGTGGTTCCACGGCAAGTTGGCGGGCGGACGCAGCATGGCGGAGAGCCTCCTGCTGGATGTGTGCAGCGTGGGGGGCGGGGCGGGGGGGGCGGTGGCGGGGGGGGTTTGCGACGGGGGGCGCGATGGGACGTTCCTCGTGCGCGAGAGCGAAACCTTCGTGGGGGACTACACGCTGTCATTCTGGTGGGTGTGGTAGTGGTGGTGTAGTAGTGGTGTAGTGTAGTGGTGTAGTGGTAGTGTAGTAGTAGTGTAGTAGTAGTGGTGTAGGGGACTACACGCTGTCATTCTGGTGGGTGTGGTGGTGGTGGTGTAGTAGTAGTGTAGTGGTAGTGTAGTAGTAGTAGTGTAGTAGTAGGAGTGGTGCAGTAGTAGTAATGTAGTAGTGTTGTAGTAGTGTAGTAGGAGTGGTGTAGTAGTGTAGTAGTAGTAGTGGTGTAGTGGTGTAGTAGTGGTAGTGTAGTAGTGGTGGTGTAGTAGTAGTGGTGTAGTAGTAGTGGTGTAGTGGTGTAGTAGTAGTGGTGTAGTAGTGTAGTAGTGTTGTTGTAGTGGTGTAGTAGTAGTGTAGTGGTAGTAGTGTAGTAGTGGTGTAGTACTACACGCTGTCCTTCTGGTGGGTGTAGTGGTGGTGTGGTGTGGTGTAGTATAGTAGTAGTGTAGCTTAGTAATGTCACGTTCACCCACCATCTCACTCACTCATTTACCCACTCACTCATTCACTCACCCACCCACCATCTCACTCACCATCACACTCACTCGCCCACCCACTCGCCCACTTACCTACTCACCCCCCACTCACCCACTCACCCACTCACTCACCCCCCCCCCCACTCACCCACCCACTCACTCACCCACCCACCATCTCACTCGCCCACCCACTCACCCACTCGCCCACCCACCATCTCACCCACTCACCCACCCCCCACTCACCCACCCACTCACCCATTCACCCCCCCCCACTCACCCACCCACTCACCCACCCACCCACTCACCCCCCCACCCCACTCACCCACTCACTCACTCACCCACTCACCCACCCACCCACTCACCCACCCACTCACTCACCCGTCCACCATCTCACTCACAATCTCACTCACTCACTCACCCCCCCCCAATCACCCACTCACCAACTCACTCACCCACTCACCCACCCACTCACCCACTCACCCCCCCCCCCCACTCACCCACCCACTCACTCACCCACCCACCATCTCACTCGCCCACCCACTCACCCACTCGCCCACCCAATCACCCACCAACCCACCCAACCACTCACCCACCCACCCACTCACTCACCCACTCATTCACCCACCCACTCACCCACCCAATCACCCACCCACCAACCCACCCAACCACTCCCCCACCCACCCACTCACCCACTCACTCACCCACTCACCCACTCACCCACCCACTCACCCACCCACCCCCCACTCCCCCACCCACTCCCCCACCCACTCCCCCACCCACTCACCCACCCACTCACCCACTCACCCACTCACCCACCCACTCACCCACCCACTCACCCACCCACTCACCCACCCACTCACCCACTCACCCACCCACCCACTCACCCACTCACCCACCCACTCACCCACTCACCCACTCACTCACCCACCCACCCACCCACTCACCCACCCACCCACCCACTCACCCACCCACCCACTCACCCACCCCCCACCCCCTCTCTCTGTGCCAGGCGCTCTGGGCGGGTGCAGCACTGCCGCATCCACTCCCGGCAGGAGTCGGTGCCGGTGCGCTACTACCTGACGGAGAACCTCATGTTCGACTCGCTCTACTCGCTCATCATGCACTACCGCGACGTGCCTCTCCGCTGCAACGAGTTTGAGATGCGGCTCACGGAGCCCGTGCCCCAGCCCAACGCGCACGAGAACAAGGAGTGAGTCGTCACGCTCCTCACGCCACCCTCGCCCGCTCGCGCTCGCTCGCTAGCTCACTCACTCGCTCGCTCTCGCTCACTCACTCGCTCCCTCCCTCACTGGCTCTCGCTCACTGGCTCACTCACCCACTCGCTCACTCACCCACTCGCTCACTCACCCACTCGCTCACTCACCCACTCGCTCACTCACCCACTCGCTCACTCACTCGCTCGCTCTCATTCGCTCGCTTTCACTCGCCCTCTCTCACTCGCTCACTCACTCGCCCTCTCGCTCTCACTCGCTCTCACTCGCTCGCTCACTCCCTCACTCGCTCGCTCACTCGCTCGCTAACTCACCCACTCACCCGCTCTCTCACTCGCTCGCTCACTAACCCACTCGCTCCCTCGCTCGCTCACTCCCTCACTCGCTCGCTCACTCGCTCGCTCACTCACCCACTCACCCGCTCTCTCACTCGCTCGCTCACTAACCCACTCGCTCCCTCACTCGCTCACTCACTCTCACTCGCTCTCTCATTCCCTCACTCCCTCACTCGCTCACTCGCTCCCTCGCTCCTTCGCTCGCTCACTAACTCGCTCACTAACTCGCTCACTAACTCGCTCACTAACTCGCTCACTAACTCACTCACCAACGCTCTCACCAACACTCTCACCTGCTCACCAGTGCTCTCACTCGCTAACCAACGCTCTCACCTACTCGCTGTCTCGCTACTAGCAGCACTTGCCTCTACAGCCTGCTTGAGGCTACACGGGGGACTTTTGTCTGTGTGTCTATAGGGTGCTGCTGCTACTCGCTACTAACAGAACTTACCCCTACAGCCCTGCTAGAGGCTACACGGGGGACCTTTGTCTGTGTCTATAGGACACTAATACTCGCTACTAGCAGCACTTGCCCCTACAGCCTGCTGGAGGCTACACGGGTGACCTTTGTCTGTGTGTGCAGGTGGTACCACGCCAGCCTGTCGCGGGGCGAGGCGGAGCACATGCTGATGCGGGTGCCTCGCGACGGCGCCTTCCTCGTGCGCAAGCGCAGCGAGACCAACTCCTACGCCATCACCTTCCGGTACACACAGCAGATACAGCAGCAGACACAGCAGCAGACACAGCAGCAGACACAGCAGCAGCAGCAGACGCAGCAGACGCAGCAGCAGCAGCGACCACAGCCACCACTACCGCCACTACTACTACCACCACCACCACCACCACAGCCACCACCGCAGACACAGACACAGACGCAGCGACCACCACCACCACTACCACCACCACCACTACCACCACCACCACTACCACCACCACTACCACCACCACCTCAGACACCGCAGACGCAGCAGACACAAACGCAGTGACCACCACCACAGCAGACCAGACGCAGCGACCGCAGACACAGACACAGCGACCACCACCACCACCGCAGCAACCACTCCTGCCACCACCACCACTCCACCCTCCTCCCGTTGTCACGGACCCCACCACCACCACCAGAGCCACCACTACTGCCACCACCAACACCACTACTGCCACCACCGCCACCACTACCGGCACCACTACCGCCACCACCACTACCGCCACCACTACCGCCACCACCACTACCGCCGCCACCACTACCGCCACCACCACTACCGCCACCACCACCACCGCCGCCACCACTACCGCCACCACCACTACCGCCACCACTACCGCCACCACCACCACCACTACCGCCACCACTACTACCGCCACCACTACCGCCACCACTACCGCCACCACCACTACCGCCACCACCACCACCACTTATCCTCCCCCACCTCTCGACGTTTCCGCCCTCTCTCTCTTTCGCCCCCTCCCCGCAATTCACCGCCTGATGGTGAGAGAGACACTCACCTGTACACACACTCACTCACCTCTCCACCCCACCCCTTCCCCACCCCACACACCCCACCCACCACACACACCACACACACACACACCACACACACCACACACACCACACACACCACACACACCACACACCCCACACACACCACAACCACACACACCACAACCACACACACCACACACACCACAACAACCACACACACCACACACACCACCCCCCACACACACCACACACACACACCCACACACCGAAACCAAACCCACACACCACACACACCACACACCCCACACACACCGATACAACACCCACATACCACACACACCCCACCACACCCCACACACCACCCCCCACACCCCACCACACCCCACACACACCCCACCCCCCACACACCACCACCACCACCCTCCACACACACACCACACCACACACCCACACCCCCCACACACCACACACACACCACCCCCACCACCCCACACCCCACCACCCCCCACGTACCCCACCACCCCCCACGTACCCCCCACCCCCCACACACCACCACCACCACCGCCACCACCACCACCCCCGCCGACGCCAGTGCCGAGGGCAAGATCAAGCACTGCCGCATCCAGCGAGAGGGCCGCCTCTTCATGCTGGGCAGCTCGGCCGAGTTTGAGAGTCTGCTGGAGCTCGTGTGCTACTACGAGCGGCGGCCGCTCTACCGCAAGATGCGCCTGCGCTACGCCGTCAACGAGGACACGCTGCACAAGCTCGGCACCGACGTGAGGGATGACACAGCCAGTGGCGCCCCGGGGGCATGTCCAGCCATGATGCTGCTGATGATGATGCTGCTGATGCTGCTGCTGATGATGCTGCTGCTGATGATGCTGCTGCTGCTGATGATGCTGCTGCTGCTACTGGTGCTGCTGCTGCTGCTGCTGCTGATGATGCTGCTGCTGATGATGATGATGATGCTGCTACTGCTGGTGATGCTGCTGGTGCTGCTGATGATGCTGCTGCTGCTACTGCTGCAACCCCCCACCCCCTCGTTTCTGGCACTCACTGTCGTTTCGGAAGAACGTTGCCGTGGCCGCCGTTCGCCGCACCGTTGCCGTGGCGATCACCCCGACCTGTTGTCTCACCCCCCCCACCACCCCCCCACCACCACCCCCCACCACCCCCCCACCACCCCCCCACCACCCTCCCACCATGCAGGACCCGGACTACAACGCCCTCTACGGCATCGGCAACAACCACCTCTACGTAGAGCCCAACCAGATGCCTCCCTCCAAGGTTCTGACACCACCACCATCACAACCACCACCATCCACCCACCCACCACCCACCACCGTCACCACCACCACTCCTACCCACCCACCATCACCCACCACCACCACCGTCACCACCACCACCGTCACCACCACCACCACCCACCACCACCCACCCACCCACCACCACCCACCACTACCCACCCACCCACCACCACCACCCACCACGCAACAGCCACCTGTACCACGGTTTCCCCCACTCCCTTCACCGTGACGATGATGACGGTGGTGACGGTGGTGGTGGTGACGGTGGTGGTGATGGTGGTGGTGGTGGTGACGGTGGTGGTGACGGTGGTGGTGACGGTGGTGGTGACGGTGGTGATGACGGTGGTGATGGTGGTGGTGACAGTGGTGGTGACGGTGGTGGTGGTGATGGTGGTGATGCTGGTGGTGACGGTGGTGGTGACGGTGGTGGTGGTGGTGATGATGAAGGTGGTGATGGTGGTAGTGTGGTGGTAATGATGATGAAGGTGGTGGTGGTGGTGATGATTGAGTTGTGTGGTGGTGGTGGTGATGATTGAGGTGGTGGTGGTTGACGGTGGTGGTGTGATGGTGATGATGATGAAGGTGGTGGTGGTGGTGATGATGAAGGTGGTGGTGGTGGTGGTGACGGTAGTGAGGTGATGGTAATGATGAAGGTGGTGGTGATGATGAAGGTGGTGGTGACGGTGGTGGTTGACGGTGGTGGTGTGATGGTGATGCTGATGATGATGGTGGTGGTGGTGGTGATGATGAAGGTGGTGGTAGTGGTGACGGTAATGAGGTGATGGTAATGATGAAGGTGGTGGTGGTGGTGACGGTGGTGGTGACGGTGGTGGTGATGATGAAGGTGGTGGTGGTAATGATGAAGGTGGTGGTAACGGTGGTGGTGTTGGTGGTGGTGGTTACCGACAGTGCTCGGTGAAGGCGCTGTACGAATACAGGGCTCACCGTGACGACGAACTCTCCTTCGTCAAGAACTCTGTCATCTACAACGTGGACAAGCAGGACGGTGGCTGGTGAGGCTCGCTCCTCACCACTCACTCACTCACTCACCCACTCACTCACCCACTCACTCACCCACCACTCACCCACTCACTCACCACTCACTCACCCACTCACTCACTCACCCACTCACTCACCCACTCACTCACTCACCCACTCACCACTCACTCACTCACTCACCTAACTCACTCAACTCACTCACCCACTCACTCACCACTCATCCCATCAACCCAGTCACTCATCACCAACTCACGAACTCACTCACCCACTCACTAACTCACCCACTCACTCACCCACTCACTCACCACTCACTCACCACTCACTCACCACTCACTCACTCCTCACCCACTCACTCACTCACCCACTCACCCACCCACTCACTCACCCACTCACTCACCCACTCACTCACCCACTCACTCACTCCTCACTCACCCACTCACTCACTCACCATTCACTCACTCACTCACCCACTCACTCACTCACTCACCCACTCACTCACCCACTCACTCACCCACTCACCCACTCACTCACGCACTCAACCCACTCACTCACCCACTCACTCACTCACTCCTCACCCACTCACTCACTCACCACTCACTCACCCACTCGCTCCTCACCCGCTCGCTCCCCCTCCCTCCCCCCCCACCCTCATTTTCTCCCCCTCTCTCTTTCTCTCACCGCCACCACCACCATCGCCACCGCCACCACCGCCACCGCCACCACCACCGCCACCGCCACCACCACCACCACCACCACCATCACCACACCACCGCCACCGCCACCACCACACCACCGCCACCACCACCACCACCGAATCTCCGTGTGGCTCAGGTGGTGCGGTGACCACGGCGGCAAGAAGCGGCACTGGTTCCCGGCAAACTACGTGGAGGAGATGTCCATCCCTCAGCCTCCGGAGGCCGAGGTGCTCACCACACCCCACACCACACCACACACCACCACACCACACCACACTACACCACACTACACCACCACACCTCACCCCACCACACCACACTACACCACGCTACACTACACCACACCACCACACCACACTAAACCCCACCCCACCACACCCCACCACACCCCACCACACCACACCACACTATGCCTGATGCTGTATATTCTGATTCGGCGATTTGGAGTTTGCGTCTCTCTCTCTCATCATCACAGTGGCTAGGAGATGTTGACTACCTCGCCTGGTACGCAGGAGGTCGTGGGTCCGATCCTGAGCCTGACACCAGCTGCTTTGTATTTGGAGTTTGCGTCTCTCTCATCATCATCATCACCACGGTGGCTAGGAGATGTTGACTACCTCGCCTGGTCTACAGGAGGTCTATGTGGAGTCTGAGTCTCTCTCATCATCATCATCATCACAGTGGCTAAGAGATGTTGACTACCTCGCCTGGTCTACAGGAGGTCTATGTGGAGTCTGTGTCTCTCATCATCATCATCATCACGGTGGCTAGGAGATGTTGACTACCTCGCCTGGTCTACAGGAGGTCTATGTGGAGTCTGCGTCTCTCTCATCATCACCATCACGGTGGCTAGGAGATGTTGACTACCTCGCCTGGTCAACTGGAGGTCTTTGTGGAGTCTGCGTCTCTCTCATCATCATCATCATCACAGTGGCTAGGAGATGTTGACTACCTCGCCTGATCCGCAGGAGGTGGTGGGTTCGATATGATTCTGATAGGCTGCTGCTGCTGTTTGCTCTCAGCACTTGCCCCGACAGCCTGTTAAAGGCTATACCGTGTGGGCGGTGGTCTTTGTCTTTGTCTTTGCCAGGGAGTCGACAGCAGCCCGCTGGGCTCCCTGCAGAAGGGAACCATCGACCTCAAATCGTGCACAGTCGGTGGGTAGCAGGTGGGGGGGTGGTGGCGGTGATGGTGGTGGTGTGGGTGGTGGTGGTGGTGGTGGTGTGGGTGGTGGGGGTGGTGGTGGTGTGGGTGGTGGTGGTGGTGGGTGGTGGTGGGGGTGGTGGTGGTGGTGGTGGTGATGGGTAGCAGGTGGGGGTGGTGGTGGCGGTGATGGTGGTGGTGGTGGTGGTGTGGGTGGTGGTGGTGGTGCTGGTGGGGGTGGTGGTGGCGGTGATGGTGGTGGTGTGGGTGGTGGTGGTGGTGTGGGTGGTGGTGGGCGGTGGTGGTGGTGCTGGTGGGGGTGGTGGTGGTGTGGGTGGTGATGGTGGTGATGATGGTGATGATGGTGGTGATGATGGTGGTGGTGATGGTGGTGGTGGCGGTGGCGGCGGTGGTGGTGACGGTGTGGGTGGTGATGGTGGTGATGATGGTGGTGGTGGCGGTGTGGGTGGTGGTGATGATGATGGTGGTAGTGGCGGTGGCGATGGTGGTCATGGTCATGATGGTGATGGCGAGGGGAGTCTAACTGAAACCGGTCCTGCTACTCGCCGCTACAAACAACACTTGCCGCGTCCTGTCCGAGGCTCCGCGGGTGACCTTTGTCTGTGTGCCCAGCTGCCCTCACGCAAGGCAAGGGGGGGCAGCGCTGGGTGTTTGCCCTCATGGCCGGGGGCAGCAGCTCGGCCTCGCTGGATGTGGCGGCGCCCGACGAGAGGGAGCTCAGCGACTGGATGACCAAAATAGTGCAGGCCAAGCAGGTGGCGGGCACACGGGTGAGTGGGGGTGGGGGGGGGGTGAGGGTGGGTGGGTGGTGGGTGAGTGGGGGGAGGGTGAGTGAGTGGGGTGGGGGGATGGGTGAGTGGTTGGGGGGGTGGGTGGGGGGGGTGGGAGGGGGGTGAGTGGGGGTGGTGGTGGGTGAGTGGGTGAGTGGGTGGGGTGGGGTGGTGGGTGAGTGGGTGAGTGGGTGGGGTGGTGGGTGAGTTGGTCGGTGGGGGGGTGGGTGAGTGAGTGGGGTGCGGTCGGGTGAGTGGGTGGGCGGGTGAGTGGGTGGATGGATGAGTGAGTAGGTGGGTGGGTAAATAGGTGAGTAGGTGAGTGAGATGGTGAGTGGGTGAGTGGGTTGAGGGGGTGAGTGGGTGAGTGAGGGGGTTGGTGGGGTGGTGAGGTGAGTGGGTGGGGGATTGAGGGAGGGGGTGAGGGGATGGGTGAGTGGGTGTGTGTGTGGGTGGGTGATTGGGTGTGTGTGTGTGGGTGGGTGATTGGGTGTGTGTGTGGGTGAGTGAGTGAGTGAGTGGGGTGGTGGGTGAGTGCGTGTGTGTGTGTGTGTCTGTGTGTGTCTGTGTGTGTGTGCGTGCGAGTGAGTGGGTGTGTGCGTGCGAGTGAGTGGGTGTGTGTGTGAGTGGGTGAGTGTGTCTGTGTGTGTGTGGGTGAGTGGGTGTGTGCGTGCGAGTGTGTGGGTGTGTGTCTGTGAGTGTGTGTGTACATGTGGGTTAACCATTGCCACCACCGTCACCTCTGCTGCAGAGCTCCAAGCGCACCGAGGAGGAGAAGCGGAAACGAGTCGCCTCCGAGATCTCCGAGCTCGTCATTTACTGCCGCCCCGTGCCCTTCGAAGGTGCTCACTCGCCCGCTCACTCGCCCGCTCACTCACCCGCTCGCTCACTCACCCGCTCACTCACCCGCTCGCTCGCTCACTCACTCACTCACCCGCTCGCTCACTCACTCACTCACCCGCTCGCTCACTCACCCGCTCACTCACCCGCTCACTCACTCACCCGCTCACTCGCTCACCCGTTCGCTCGCTCACTCACCCGCTCGCTCGCTCACCTGCTCACTCACCCACTCACTCCACCCACCCACCCTACTCACCCCACTCACCCCACCCCATCCACTCACCCCACCCATCCCACCCCACCCACCCCACCCCACCCACCCCACTCACTCCACCCACCCACTCACCTCACCCACCCCACCCACCCCACCCCACCCCACCCCACTCACCCTACCCACCCCACCCACCCCACCCCACCACCCCCTCCACCCCCCTCCTCCTCCTCCCCCTCCACCCCCCCACCCGCCAGGCCCCAAGTTGAGCTGCCGCGAGATGTCGTCCCTGCCGGAGACGAAGGCGGAGAAGTATTGCCGGCGCGGTGCGGCCCGTCCGCTGGTGGAGCACAACCGGCGGCAGCTGAGCCGCGTCTACCCCAAGGGGCAGCGCATCGACTCCTCCAACTACGACCCGCTGCCCCTGTGGGCATGCGGCACGCAGATGGTGGCTCTCAACTACCAGACGCCTGGTGAGGGCTCGCGGTCGGTCGTGGCGGTGGTGGTGGTTGTGGTTAGTTGTGGTGGTGGTAGTCGTGGTTGGTGGTGGTGGTGATGGTCGTGGTGGTCGTGGTGGTGGTTGTGGTTGGTGGTCGTGGTGGTGGTCGTGGTTGTGGTGGTGTTGGTGATGGTTGTGGTGATGGTTGTGGTGGTGGTCGTGGTGGTGGTGGTTGGTGGTCGCGGTTGGTGGTGGTCGTGGTCGTGGTGGTGGTCGTGGTGGTGGTTGTGGTGGTAGTCGTGGTTGGTGGTGGTAGTGGTTGGTGGTGGTGGTGGTGGTTGTGGTCGTGGTGGTTGTGGTTGGTGGTCGTGGTGGTGGTGATGGTTGGTGGTCGTGGTTGTGGTGGTGTTGGTGATGGTTGTGGTGGTGGTCGTGGTGGTGGTGTTGGTGGTCGCGGTTGGTGGTGGTGGTGGTTGTGGTGGTAGTCGTGGTTGGTGGTGGTAGTGGTTGGTGGTGGTGGTTGTGGTGGTGGTGGTCGTGGTGGTTGGTGGTGGTGGTTGTGGTTGGTGGTCGTGGTGGTGGTCGTGGTGGTGATCGTGGTGGTCGTGTTTGGTGGTGGTGGTGGTGGTGTTGGTGGTGGTCGTGGTTTGTGGTCGTGGTGGTGGTGGTGGTGACGGTGGTGGTGGTGGTCGTGGTGGAGGAGGCTCGTGAAGGACGCTACTGGGCAGTTGGAGGCAGCCGCCCTCCAACAGCAACGGAGGGCGGAGGAGCGACGCTAAAGCACAGCAAGTTGGCACAGTAGAGAGTGTGTGTGAGTGAATGTGTGTCAGTGTGTGTGATAGACAGTGTGTGTGTGTGCGAGAGAGAGTGCGTGTGTGTGACGTTGTGTGCTACTTGCTACAACGCCGCCTGCCCCCCGCCGTCACGCGTGTGTGTGCGTCACGCGTGTGTGTGCGTCACGCGTGTGTGTGCGTCACGCGTGTGTGTGCGTCACACGCGTGTGTGTGCGTCACACGCGTGTGTGTGCGTCACACGCGTGTGTGTGCGTCACACGTGTGTGTGTGCGTCACACGCGTGTGTGTGCGTCACACGCGTGTGTGTGCGTCACGCGTGTGTGTGCGTCACGCGTGTGTGTGCGTCACGCGTGTGTGTGCGTCACGCGTGTGTGTGCGTCCACGCGTGTGTGTGCGTCACACGCGTGTGTGTGCGTCACACGCGTGTGTGTGCGTCACACGCGTGTGTGTGCGTCACACGCGTGTGTGTGCGTCACGCGTGTGTGTGCGTCACGCGTGTGTGTGCGTCACGCGTGTGTGTGCGTCACACGCGTGTGTGTGCGTCACAAGCGTGTGTGTGCGTCACAAGCGTGTGTGTGCGTCACGCGTGTGTGTGCGTCACGCGTGTGTGTGCGTCACGCGTGTGTGTGCGTCACGCGTGTGTGTGCGTCACGCGTGTGTGTGCGTCACGCGTGTGTGTGCGTCACGCGTGTGTGTGCGTCACGCGTGTGTGTGCGTCACGCGTGTGTGTGTGTGCGTCACGCGTGTGTGTGCGTCACGCGTGTGTGTGTGCGTCACGCGTGTGTGTGTGCGTCACGCGTGTGTGTGTGCGTCACGCGTGTGTGTGCGTCACGCGTGTGTGTGTGCGTCACGCGTGTGTGTGTGCGTCACGCGTGTGTGTGTGCGTCACGCGTGTGTGTGTGCGTCACGCGTGTGTGTGTGCGTCACGCGTGTGTGTGTGCGTCACGCGTGTGTGTGCGTCACGCGTGTGTGCGTCACGCGTGTGTGTGCGTCACGCGTGTGTGTGCGTCACGCGTGTGTGTGCGTCACGCGTGTGTGTGCGTCACGCGTGTGTGTGCGTCACGCGTGTGCTAGACAAGCCCATGCAGCTGAACCAGGCTCTGTTCAAGCTGAACGGCGCCAGCGGCTACGTGCTGCAGCCCGAGTCGATGCTGCGCGGAGACTTTGTCGACCCGTTCTGCAACAGCGCTCTGCCCACCAGCGACACAGTCAGCCTGCAGATCATGGTGCGTGCGGGGGGTGCCTGTGTGTGCCTGTGCGTGGCTGTGTGTGCGTGCCTGTGTGTGCGTGCCTGTGTGTGCGTGCCTGTGTGTGCGTGCCTGTACGTGCGTGCCTGTACGTGCGTGCCTGTGTGTGCGTGCGTCCGTGGGGTGTCTGTGCATGGTGTGCGTGCGTGCGTGTGTGGTGTGCGTGCGTGGGGTGACTGTGTGTGGTGTGTGTGGGGTGTGTGTTTGTGGTGTGCGTGCATGCGTGGGGTGTCTGTGCGTGCCGTGTGCCGTGTGCCGTGCCGTGTGACGTGTCATGTGCCATGTGTCGTGTGACGTGTGCCATGTGCCGTGTGCCGTGCACCAGATCTTCGGCGCCCGCCACCTGCCCAAGAACGGGCGCAGCATCGCGTGCCCCTTCGTGGAGGTGGAGGTCTGTGGGGCCGACTACGACTGCAACAAGTACAAGACGGAGGTCGTACGTGAGTCACCCCACCCCCCCCACAAGCTCACAGCGCTCACTGTCAGAGGCTACACGGGGGACCTTTGTCTGTGTCTCTATAGGGCGCTGCTGCTGCTACTCGCTACTATCAGCACTTGCCCATACAGCCCTGCTAGAGGCTACACGGGGGACCTTTGTCTGTGTCTCTATAGGGCGCTGCTGCTGCTACTCGCTACTAACAGCACTTGCCCCTACAGCCCTGCTAGAGGCTACACGGGGGGCCTTTGTCTGTGTGTCTATAGGTGACACCCACCCCCTCGTGTGCCACAGTGCCGGCCTTCACAGGTGCTGCTCGCTAACAGCACTTGCCCCTACAGCCTGTTACAGACTATACGGGGGACCTTTGTATATGTCTGTGTGTGTGTTTTGTCCCCTCCCTCCCCCTCGCTCCCCCCTCCCCTCCCTACCCTCCCTCCCCCCCTCCCTCCCCCCCTCCCTCCCCCCCTCCCTCCCCCCCTCCCTCCCCCCACAGCGGACAACGGCCTGAACCCCGTGTGGAGTGTCAAGTCCCCGGGCCTGGTGTTCGACATCCAGAGCCCGCGTCTCGCCTTCCTGCGCTTCGTGGTCTACGAGGAGGACATGTTCAGTGACCCCAACTTCCTGGCACAGGCCACCTTCCCCGTGCGCGGTCTCAAGTCTGGTGAGAGGTCAACGCGTGGCGGCGGTGGTGGTGGCGGTGGTGGTGGCGGTTGTGGTGGTGGTTAGGGAGTGGCGGTGATGGCTGCGGTGGTCTGTGTCTGTGGTGGTGTTTGTGGTGGTGGTGTCTGTGGTAGTGGCTGTGGTGGTGGTGGCTGTGGTGGTGGCGGCGTTAGTGCTGTCTGTGGTGGTAGTAGTGGCGGTGGTTGTAGCGGTGGGGGTAGGAGTTGTACTCTCCACACAAATCCTACATCCACTCAGAGCTCGTTTTAGCCGACTCTAAATGTCTGCCTTTCGGTAAACGCTGTGCGAGTTACCAGTTAGGCCGCCCCAGAGCAAAACATTGAGGAATTGTCACCTCCACGGTGAACCGGATGGTTTTAATTTGGCGATTTGAGATGATTTGGGAGTGCGTTGGTGACCTCCACGGTGAACCGGATGTGCGGGTGTTGTTTTGGCGAGTTGAGATGATTTGGGAGTGCGTTGAGCGTGTGGTCTCTACCGTGTGGCCAGACTAACTGAGAGTGGCGTTGCTTGAGACTCGGCTCTTGAGAAAGCTGCCTCTCTGGTGTGGACCAATCGGTTTCACAGACCAGGCATCATCACGTACCACCAGAGCATCATGTTTATTTGCACGAACAACGCAAGTTCGCGTGGCTCACACGGTGCAGAGGTCGCAACTGGGTACCCGATACCCGTACCCTACCCGATACCCGGCTACCCGTACCCGGCCAGGTACGGGTACGGGTAGCCGTTTGCGACCCTGGTGCGGCCGGGTACGGGTAGGCCGTGAGTCACTGGTGAGTCACCGTTTGTCACTCATTTCTGGTAGGGTACGGGTAGGGTACGGGGAGGGTACGGGTACCCATTTGCGACCCTGGTGCGGCCGGGTACGGGTACGGATAAGGAATCAAAACCCGTTTGCGACCTCTGACGCGGTGGCAGCATTATCATTTGAACACAACTCGTGTTTGATTGCCAGGCAGGGTGAAAACCATTCTGTTATTTTGATACTGACAAGGGAGGTCCCATGATGTGGCTACCCTCACCCCTGACAGTGGCATTCTCCTTGTGCTGGTCACCTTTGAACCGAACACCGTTTGAGACTCGGCTCTAGAGAAAGCTGCCACTCCGGTGTGGACCAATCGGTTTCAAAGACGATGCATCATCACCTACCACCAGAGCATCATTTTTATTTGTTCGTGAATAGTATTGGCCTCGAAATCCAGCAAAGTTCGGGTGGGGGGATGATGGAACTTGTGTGTCTGTGTGTGTGTCTGTGTGTGTGTGTCTGTGTGTGTGTCTGTGTGTGTCTGTGTGTGTGTCTGTGTGTGTCTGTGTGTGTGTCTGTGTGTGTCTGTGTGTGTGTCTGTGTGTGTGTGTGTGTCTGTGTGTGTGTCTGTGTGTGTGTCTGTGTGTGTGTCTGTGTGTGTGTCTGTGTGTGTCTGTGTGTGTGTGTGTGTCTGTGTGTGTGTGTGTGTGTCTGTGTGTGTGTCTGTGTGTGTCTGTGTGTGTGTCTGTGTGTGTGTCTGTGTGTGTGTGTGTGTCTGTGTGTCTGTGTGTGTGTCTGTGTGTGTGTGTCTGTGTGTGTGTGTCTGTGTGTGTGTGTCTGTGTGTGTGTGTGTCTGTGTGTGTGTCTGTGTGTGTGTGTCTGTGTGTGTGTGTCTGTGTGTGTGTGTCTGTGTGTGTGTCTGTGTGTGTGTCTGTGTGTGTGTGTCTGTGTGTGTGTGTCTGTGTGTGTGTGTGTCTGTGTGTGCGTCTGTGTGTGTCTGTGTGTGTCTGCGTGTGTGTCCAGGCTTCCGCTCCGTGCCCCTGCAGAGCAGCTACAGCGAGGACCTTGAACTGGCCTCGCTGCTCGTTCACATCTCCATCACCAACGTCAAGGTTCGTGCCGCTCACCCGGCACCACCGGTGCTCGGTCGCCCATTCACCGGCGCTTGCCGTCGGCACAGAGACAGACAGTGCCCCGTGCAGCCTCTACTAGCAGGGCTGTAGGGGCAAGTGCTGTTAGTAGCGAGACCCACAGACTCACACAGAGACCCACAGGCTCACACAGAGACCCATAGACTCATCAGACAGCAGAGACCCATAGACTCATCACACAGCAGAGACCCATAAACTCATCACACAGCAGAGACCCATAGACTCATCACACAGCAGAGAGCCATAGACTCATCACACAGCAGAGACCCATAGACTCATCACACAGCAGAGACCCATAGACTCATCACACAGCAGAGACCCATAGACTCATCACACAGCAGAGACCCATAGACTCATCACACAGCAGAGACCCACAGACTCATCACACAGCAGAGACCCACAGACTCATCACACAGCAGAGACCCATAGACTCATCACACAGCAGAGACCCATAGACTCACCACACAGCAGAGACCCATAGACTCATCACACAGCAGAGACTCGGACTCATCACTGAGACCCATAGACTCACACATAAATCCACAGACTCATACAGAGACCCACAGACTCACACAGAGACCCATAGACTCACACAGAGACCCACAGACTAGTCACACACAGACGCACAGCCTCACACGTAAGCCTATAGAATCACGAGTAGATACCGAACGCCATCTCCCCCCTTGCCGCCCTCGTAGGAGGCGGACGACGAGGAGATGTACTCGTCGATCCAGCAGCTGCGCGACCGCACGACGGAGCTGCAGAGCCAGGTGATCCTGTACGAGAGCCGGCGCAGCGACGCCGCCAGCGTCACGCGCTACGAGCAGCGCCTGCGCGAGCTGGAGGACGCGCAGGAGCAGCTCATGGAGCTCACGGCGACACGCTCGGAGCGGTGAGTCTCTCACACACACACACTCTCACATTCACACACGCACACACACACACACTCGTGCACACGCACACATTCACACATTCACACACACACGTACACACTCACGCACACTCTCACACGCACACACTCTCACACACACACACACACTCTCACATACTCTCACACACACTCTCACACACTCTCACACACTCTCTCACACTCACACACTCACTCTCACACACTCTCACACTCTCTCACACTCTCTCACACTCACACACTCTCTCACACTCTCTCACACTCACACACTCACTCACACACTCTCACACTCTCACACACACTCTCACACACACTCTCACACACTCTCTCATACTCTCACACACGCACACACGCACACACTCTCACACTCTCACACGCTCTCACACACGCACACACACGCACACACACGCACACACTCATGCACACATTCACACACGCACACACTCACACACACTCTCTCATACTCTCACACGCACACACTCATACACACATTCTCACACTCACACGCACACACTCTCACACACACGCACACATACTCTCACACACTCTCACACACTCTCTCACACGCACACATGCTCACACTCACACAACAACAACCGCCATTCGCCACTAAGTGGTGGTGATGTCACCACGACGCTCACACGCACAAACTCTCACGCACATGCTCACACTCACATTCTCACACTCTCACTCTCTCACACGCTCGCTCACACGCACATTCTCACACACATGCTCACTTACCCACACACTCACACCCACACACTCATCCACATACTCACCCACACTCTCACTCACCCACCCACCCACTCACTCGCCCACACACACACACTCTCACACGCTCAAACACCCTCACCCACCCACCCACCCACCCACTCACCCACCCACCCACCCACCCACTCACCCACCCACTCACCCACCCACTCACCCACCCACTCACTCACCCACCCACCCACTCACTCACCCACCCACTCACCCACCCACTCTCACACACACTCACCCAATCACCCACTCTCACTCACCCACACTCTTACCCACTCCCACCCACCCACTCTCACACGCTCAAACACCCTCACTCACACACACTCACCCAATCACCCACCCACTCACCCACCCACCCACTCACACCCACCCACTCTCACACGCTCAAACACCCTCACTCACACACACTCAAACACCCTCACTCACACACACTCAAACACCCTCACTCACACCCACCCACCCACTCACTCACACACACTCACCCAATCACCCACCCACCCACTCACCCACTCTCACACGCTCAAACACCCTCACTCACTCACCCACTCTCACTCACCCACACTCTTACCCACTCACACTCACCCAATCACCCACCCACCCACAATCACCCACCTTCTCACTCACTCACCCACACTCTCACACGCTCAAACACCCTCACTCACACCCACCCACTCACCCACCCACCCACACACTCACCCACACTCTCACTCACTCACCCACACTCTCACTCACTCACCCACCCACACACACACTCTCACACGCTCAAACACCCTCACACCCACCCACCCACTCACCTACCCACCCACCCACTCACCCACCCACTCACCCACCCACTCACCCACCCACTCACCCACTCACCCACTCACCCACCCACCCACTCACCCACCCACTCACCCACCCACCCACCCACTCACCCACCCACCCACCCACTCACCCACCCACCCACCCACTCACCCACCCACTCACCCACCCACTCACCCACCCACCCACCCACTCACCCACCCACCCACTCACCCACCCACCCACCCACTCACTCACCCACCCACCCACTCACCCACTCACCCACCCACTCACTCACTCACTCACCAACCCACCCACTCACTCACCCACCCACTCACACTCACCCACCCAATCACCCACCCACCCACCCACAATCACCCACCTTCTCACTCACTCACCCACACTCTCACACGCTCAAACACCCTCACTCACACCCACCCACTCACCCACACTCAAACACCCTCACTCCCACTCACCCACCCACTCTCACTCACCCACACTCTTACCCACCCACGCTCACCCACACTTTTACCCACCCACACTCACCCACCCAATCACCCACCCTCTCATACGCTCGCCCACCCGCACTCACTCACACCCACCCACCCACCTACAATCATCCACCTTCTCACTCACTCACCCACCCACTCACTCACACACACCCTCACCCACACTCTCACACGCTCAAACACCCTCACTCACACACTCACCTGTTTACCCACAGGCTCACTCACCTGCACACACTCACACTCTCACTTACTCACACCCACCCACCCACACTCACCCACAATCACCCACCCTCTCACTCACTCACACCCACCCACCACCCACACTCTCACCTAATCACCCGCACTTTCACTCACCCACACTGTCACTCAACTACACCTCACACACACTCACCTGCACCCACACTCACACACTCCCACTCACCCACCCGCTGACCCACTCGCTCACCCACTCACCTACTCACTCACCCACCCACTCACTCACCTGCACACTCACCTGCACACTCACCCGCGTACACTCAGCCTCACGTGTGTCTCTGCGTGTGGGTGCAGGTTGCGGGAGAGGGAGCAGGCTCGCAAGCACCAGCAGAAGGGCCCCTCCAAGTACTGACAGCCCCCGCCAGGACCCCCCCCTCCTCACCAGGACCCCCCCTCCTCACCAGCACCCCCCCTCCTTACCAGGACCCCCCCTCCTCACCCACCACCTCACCCACTCCAGAGTCCTCACCTGGGAACCAGCGTCACACCGCCCCCACGCGATGATGGTGATGGTGATGACGGAGGTGGTGGTGGTGACGATGACGATGGAGGTGATGATGATGAAGGTGATGATGATGATGGTGGTGGAGGTGGTGACGATGATGGAGGTGGTGATGATGATGACGGTGGTGGTGATGATGATGATGGAGGTGGTGATGATGATGACGGTGGTGGAGGTGGTGATGATGACGGTGGTGGTGATGATGGTGGTGGTGGTGATGATGATGGTGGTGGTGGAGGTGGTGGTGATGATGATGACGGTGGTGGTGGTGATGATGATGATGGAGGTGGTGACGATGGTGGTGGTGGTGATGGTGGTGGTGGAGGTGATGATGATGACGGTGGTGGAGGTGGTGACGATGATGGTGGTGGTGGAGGTGGTGACGATGATGACGGTGGTGGAGGTGGTGACGATGATGGTGGTGGTGGAGGTGGCGACGATGATGATGGAGGTGGTGGTGGTGACGATGATGATGGAGGTGATGATGATGGAGGTGATGATGATGGTGATGATGATGGAGGTGATGATGATGATGGTGGAGGTGGTGACGATGATGATGGAGGTGGTGATGATGATGACGGTGGTGGAGGTGGTGATGATGATGATGATGATGGAGGTGATGATGATGGAGGTGATGATGATGGTGGTGACGATGATGATGATGGAGGTGGTGACGATGATGATGGAGGTGGTGATGATGATGACGGTGGTGGAGGTGGTGACGATGATGGTGGTGGTGGAGGTGGTGATGATGATGATGGTGATGGTGACGATGATGATGGAGGTGGTGGAGGTGGTGACGATGATGATGGAGGTGGTGATGATGATGACGGTGGTGGAGGTGGTGATGATGATGATGGAGGTGATGATGATGGAGGTGATGATGATGGAGGTGATGATGATGGTGGTGACGATGATGATGATGGAGGTGGTGACGATGATGATGGAGGTGGTGATGATGATGACGGTGGTGGAGGTGGTGATGATGATGGTGGAGGTGGTGGTGGTGATGATGATGGTGGTGGTGGAGGTGGTGACGATGGAGGTGATGATGATGGAGGTGATGATGATGGTAATTGAGGTGGTGACGATGGTGACGGTGATGATGATGGAGGTGATAATGATGATGATGGAGGTGATAATGATGGAGGTGATGATGATGATTGAGGTGGTGACGATGGTGGGTGAGGTGGTGATGACGGTGACGATGACGATGGTGGTGATGACGATGACGGAGGTGGTGACGATGATGATGGAGGTGGTGACGATGATGATGGAGGTGGTGACGATGATGATGGAGGTGGTGACGATGATGACGGTGATGATGATGACGGTGGTGGTGATGATGATGACGGTGGTGGTGATGATGATGGTGGTGGTGGAGGTGATGATGATGGAGGTGGTGACGATGGTGGTTGAGGTGATGATGGTGGTGGAGGTGGTGACGACGATGATGATGGAGGTGGTGACGACGATGATGATGGAGGTGGTGGAGGTGGTGACGATGATGGAGGTGGTGATGATGATGATGACGGTGGTGGAGGTGGTGACGATGATGATGATGGAGGTGATGATGGAGGTGGTGACGATGGTGGTTGAGGTAATGATGATGGTGATGTTGGCTCGGCCGTGGTTGGTGGACTTTAGACCAGGGCGAGGTTGTGGCCAGGGTAACAAAACCTGTGGAAAGGTTGTTGCGGGGAGAGGGTTTAAGTGGTGGCGGTGGTGGTGGTTGTGGCCCCGGTTTTACACGTTTTCAGTTTGTCCACCGCGTTCTTAAATATATGGAGACATTTTTATTCCGCTAATTATAATAATTATTATTGGTTGTTGTTGTTGTCCTCGTTATCGTTGTTGTTGTTTAACGTGAAGGGGGAAAATGTGTCGTCTTGATTCTCTCGGATATCACGAAGCGAGAGAGACGGAGTCTGTCTCGGGGTCATTTTTCCGTTACGTTTGCGTCCATCTACCGCGAATCTCACACTACACACGCATAGTACACAGTACACACACATAGTACACAGTACACACACTCACACAGTACACACACATAGTACACAGTACACACACTCACACAGTACACACACATAGTACACAGTACACACAGTATACAAAGTACACACACTCACACAGTACACACACTCACACAGTACACACATTACACACACACAGTACACTGCACACAGTACACACATCACACACTACACTGCACACAGTACACACATCACACACTACACACACTACACTACACACAGTATACACACTACACACAGACAGTACACTACACACAGTACACACACACAGCACACACACTACACACACACATAGTACACACAGTACACACACACAGTACACATACACTACACACAGACACATAGTACACACACACACTACTCACAGTACACACACACAGTACACACACACACAGTACACACACACAGACTACGCATTACACACACACATACTACACTAATATACACACTATGCATTACACACACTACACACAGTACACTACACGCAGTACACACACAGACTGCATTACACACACACATACTACACTAATATATACACTACGCATTACACACTACACACAGAACACACACACAGACTATGCATTACACACTACACACAGAACACACACACAGACTATGCATTACACACAGTACACACACAGTACACACTACACACAGTACACACACAGACTACACTAATATATACACTACGCATTACACACACTACACACAGACTACGCATTACACACTAATATATACACTACGCATTACACACACTACACACAGACTACGCATTACACACATACTACACTAATATATACACTACGCATTACACAGTACACACACAGTACACACAGTACACACACGCACTACACTAATATATACACTACGCATTACACACACTACACACAGTACACACACACAGACTACGCATTACACACACTACACACAGTACACACACACAGACTACGCATTACACACATACTACACTAATACTGGTAGGAACGAAGTGGACCAGCCTACAATAGATTATTTCGTCCGTCCGTCCGTCCGTCCGATGTCCGATTACGTGTAGCAACATCGCCCCCTACTGAAAACACTTGGCAGGACCCTCCAAAAACCTTTAGACTCTGTGAGGCTTTCCTGGCTAAACAAGTGTAACATTCCCTTATAATTCCCTCAGATAGCTTTTAATTAAAACATTTAAATTAATGAGGCTTTCCTGGCTAAACACGTGTAACATTTCCTTACAATTCCCTGAGATAGCTTTTAATTAAAACTTTGAAATTAAATAAAAAAACTCAGCGCCCTAAAGCCTACAGCTAAGCCTAAAGCCTAGAACTAGGCCTCAAAGTCTCCCTTCGTATCGTACCCCCGCGTGTGTGAAAGGGAGTTAATGTTTAACAATGTTACATTCCCTGATGTTTTAAAATAGAAACATTTACATTTAAAGCTTTTACATTAATAATTAAAACATTTAAATTATACAATAATTTAAACATTTAAAATTAAGTCACAGCGCCCTAAAGCCTACAGCTAGGCCTAAAGCCTAGAACTAGGCCTCAAAATCTCCCTTCGGATCGTCCGATTAGGTGTAGCAACATCGCCCCCTACTGCAAACACTTGGCAGGACCCTACAACAACCTTTAGACTCAGTGAGGCTTTCCTGGCTAAACAAGTGTAATAATACATTATGTTTATATTCTTTGGTTATTCATTCCTACCAGCCCACCCCGCAGGGTCCTGTTATATACACTATGCACTACACACAGTACACACTACACACAGACTACACATTACACACATTACACACACACATACTACACTAATATATACACTACGCATTACACACACTACACACAGACTATGCATTACACACACAGTACACACTACACACAGACTACGCATTACACACATTACACACACACATACTACACTAATATATACACTACGTATTACACACACTACACACAGACTATGCATTACACACAGTACACACACAGTACACACTACACACAGACTACGCATTACACACATTACACACACACATACTACACTAATATATACACTACGCATTACACACACGACACACAGACTACGCATTACACACATTACACACACACATACTACACTAATATATACACTACGCATTACACACACTACACACAGACTACGCATTACACACAGTACACACACAGTACACACTACACACAGACTACGCATTACACACATTACACACACACATACTACACTAATATACACACTACGCATTACACACACTACACACAGACTACGCATTACACACAGTACACACACAGTACACACTACACACAGACTACGCATTACACACATTACACACATACTACACTAATATATACACTACGCATTACACACACTACACACAGACTACGCATTACACACAGTACACACACAGTACACACTACACACAGACTACGCATTACACACATTACACACCACACACATACTACACTAATATATACACTACGCATTACACACCACACACATATATGCTACACACCACAGGGGACGAGAGGTTTGGACCACCACCACTCAACACGCTGCTGCTGCTGCTGCGACCCTCACCAGGACAAGCGGGTTGAGAAACGAAAAAAATGAACTAACACACACACATATACATATATACTACACATTACACACATCGCAAATATATAAACATATGCCTGGTTCTTTCGGTAAAGTCACGTAGAAAGGAAATAATAAAATTATAAAACAATAAAATCCTCACGACGTTTCGACTCCATCACAAGCAATCATCATCAGGTGTGACATCCACAGCAAGAACATTTATAGTTTGACAGTTTTACTATTTTATTATTTCCCTTCTACGCGACTTTACCGAAAGAACCAAGAATGTGAATCCCTGCAGTCACGAAAGCTTTAAATCAAAATATACTGGTAGGAACCTCCTGGTTACACCAGCCCACAGGGGATTATTGTGTCCGTCCGTCCTTCGTGAAGGGAGGGGCTGGGTGGGGAGGGGCTTGGTGGGGAGGGGTGGGGCTGGGTGGGGAGGGGAGGGTGGGGAAGGACTAGGTGGGGAAGGGCTAGGTGGGGAGGGTGGGGCTGGGTGGGGAGGGTGGGGAAGGGCTGGGTGGGGGGTGGGGCTGGGTGAGGAGGGGCTGCTCACCCCGTGGTGCCCTTATAAAACTCAACGTTTCACCTACTCACGCCGGCTTGTGCCCGCCCTCACAGTCGGCCATATTTGCGGAATACACCACGCCGCCGTTGACCCTGGCCATTGACCGAGCAACCCGACGTTCCTACCAGCTCCCTCCGCAGGAATGTATTGTATACATTACACATCAGTCATCGTCAGGGGTCAGGATCAAATGCCACGACCTCCCGCATACCTAGTGAGGTCGTTAACATCTCCTAGCCACCATGATGATCCGAAAGAGAAACACGCATACTCCAAATACACAGCAGGTATCGTCAGGGTCACGGTATTGAACCCATAACCTGCATACCAGGTGAGGTAGTTAACATCTGCTAGCCACCGTCATGATGATGAGAAAGAGAGACAGAGACTCCAAATATACAGCAGACAATGTCAGGGTCACGGGATCGAACCCATGCCCTCCTGCATATCAAGCGAGATAGTTAACATCTCTTAGCCCAACGTGATGACTCCAAATAAATATACAGCAGCAAGTGGGACGAGGTGCAGAGGTCGCAAACGGGTTTTGATTCCTTACCCGTACACAGCCGCACCAGGGTCGCAAATGGCTACCCGTACCCGTACCCGGCCGGGTACGGGTACCCGTTCCCTACCCGGCCGGGTACGGGTACCCGTTCCCTACCCGTACCCTACCCGAAATGAGTGACAAACGGCTACTCACCAGTGACTCACGGCCTACCCGTACCCGGCCGCGCCAGGGTCGCAAACGGGTACCCGTACCTGGCCGGGTACGGGTAGCCGGGTATCGGGTAGGGTACGGGTATCGGGTACCCGGTTGCGACCTCTGGCGAGGTGTCACACAGAGCCGTGTGGTGTGTGTTGTATCGACGAAGGGGGCTCCATTACTGCAACTGCCGTTACAGGTAACGACAAACACGACGCATTGCCGAAATCCAGTGTGCACACATTCCCTGGCACGATGTGACGGGCTCCTGTAAGATCCGACCGTGTCCGCGACTGTCCGGTGGCTTGCCAAAGCTGCGACTCGCTACTCTACGGGACGTCCGGTAACGATAAAAAACCACATGGCCAAAGCTGTAGCGTGCGTACGACATTCTCTGGCACGTTGTGATAGGTTATAGGGGCTCCTCTACTTTCGAACGAGTTCCAGAGGTCTGTTCGTAAATTGATTTGTTCGAAAGTCCAACTTTACTCCTGCATGGCGTGTACACTAAACAGGGATAATGGTTTTACAAGTTGTATAATCTCCTGCAGATGTAGATGCCACTTGTTCTTCACGTTCTGGAGATGCCACAGGTTCTTCACATTCTGCAGATGTAGATGCCACTGGTTCTTCACGTTCTGCAGATGTAGAAGCCACTGGTTCTTCACGTTATGTAGATGTAGATGCCACTCGTTCTTCACTTTCTGTAGATGTAGATGCCACTGGTTCTTCACGTTCTGCAGATGTAGATGCCACTGGTTCTTCACGTTCTGTAGATGTAGATGCCACTGGTTCTTCACTTTCTGCAGATGTAGATACCATTGATTCTTCACGTTCTGTAGATGTAGATGCCACTGATTCTTCACCATCTTTAGATGCCACTGGTTCTTCACATTCTGCAGATGTAGATGCCACTGGTTCTTCACGTTCTGTAGATGTAGATGCCGCTGGTTATTCACGTTCTGTAGATGCCACTGGTTCTTCACGTTCTGTAGATGTAGATGCCACTGGTTCTTCACGTTCTGCATAT